TCTGTTAATCCCACTTGACGTTCAAGACTCGTGTGCCTTTCTTATACCACTTCAGGTAAAATCCACCCTTGTGTTATATTAATTTCTCAAAAGTCTTTCCTTGAGGATAGTCTAGTATTCCTTTAGACGTTCAATCATTTCACAACATATTTCAAAGAACGTCTTGATCTGTGCTTTAATCAATCACAGAATTCGACTCGTATGACGCCGCTTTTACGAATATTCCCTACTATGACACGTGGACACCCATATGTTCTGGGGCAGTGGGGTAGCCTAGTGGTCAAAGCGTTAGCTCGTCACGCCGAACACCCAGGTTCGATTCCCCACATGGGTGCAATGTGTGAGGCCCGTTTCTGGTGTCCCCCGCCCTGTGATATGTCTGGAATTTTGCTAATAGCGGCGTAAAACCATACTCACTCACTCTGTATGTTCCATTGTTTCTTCAGGTGAACATTTGAACATCTCACCTGTGGCATGGGTGCAGGATGCGCTAACCATGTCGCAAAAATTCGATATAAACACTATTTTATAATGAATCTTAAAAATAACCCTGGCTGATGATGTAGTTGGAATCGAACGGTGGTCTCACATGAACAAGCTTTGATATATCTTTTGACGTTTTGACCATGTCAAATGATACCATAACAAGCAGCCATGATAGAAAATTGAACGTGTTTATTAAGTCCTTAATAGGGTACTTTAAGTGCTGAAATGCATAATGTCAGATCATATACAGATCATACAAATGTAAAAATGTACAAGATTGCACACACTCAAGGTGTATAAAGTTCATAAAAATAGTATAAAGCAGGTACAATATGAGTCAAAAACACATATGAAATGTTATGTCACAAAGCATACCATCTTCGGTTATCAAGAGTTATTCCAGATTCCCGTATCCCTGTCAAAAGGGTTTTGACCAATCGGATTCGTAGTTCTACCGAACCGTCCAATAAAATCGAGGCTAATACAATAAAACCGTTGTGGTCGCTAAAGGATAATTTGCACGAAGATGTATTCACAAATCGTTTAAATAGAACCAATCAGAACACTGGAAATTAAACCCTTGGTTAATGAAGATGGTCAATTAGCAATAGATGAGCAATCAACGATATCAAATATAGGAAGATACGATAAAATTATTATTCGTGAAAAATATATATAAGCGCTCAAAAGAGTACCTTTAATTCGATAAAAGTGCCAATATGAAAATGCTAATGTAGTTGCATTTTAATACTGTGATACACAGTTTGAAAACATCAACACTCAAAAGAGGTTTTGAAAGTGTGAATGTACTGTGAAACAATGACAAAAAGGTATTGTTAAAATAAATATATACTGAAGGAAACAAATAAGGGAACGCCACTTCATCGCAGCGTTCCTATATGTATTCTCAGATTCTCACCCACAGTGGATACAAAGCTTGTGAAGAAACCTGGAAAAGAATATAGGAACACTTGAGCTTTCATGTATTCCCTTGTTTATTTCCTCAGTATATATACTCATGCCAATAATGGTTGTCACCCCCTTCAATTTTTATAATTGGGAGGGGGGTGACAACCATTATTGGCATGAGTATATATAAAGTCAAAGCCAGAAAATGGTCAGGCTCGAATGTCTGACGAAACAGATGTGAAGAAAACACCCGTTTAATATGGCACACGAAAATTCACTGTTAACCAGTGTGATATAGTGGACAACTGAAATACATTGATTTTAACAAGAGCATACCATTACTAGGTGGGGGTGAACATGTAACGTTCTGAAGTAGAACCATCGGACAGCTGCTCATTATTCTTGGACATAGGCACATGTGATGAAACAGTGGAATCAACCACACACAGACCACTTTTTAACGTTAGGTTGTCCGTATTTCTGTGTTTCCGATCTCCCGTCTCCCTGAATTTTCATTCCGACGTGAAATAATATACGTTTCCTTATCTCAGTTTTGCCAGTCACCTAATATTATGTCCTGACGCGATAAGAATCCTTGCACACTCAGAAAAAAATCCCAGGTCAGTTTGAAATTTGGTATTCATCAATATTTTTGAAAAAAAATACATGTATTTTCGATTCGATCTTCATCATTAATTAATCGAAAAACCATTAACAAGAGATCTAAATGTGAAAAAAAATCATAAAAATATCATGCCTTTGTAGGGCATTTACAAGTGACATACATAAGGAAGAGAGTTTTTGTATGGATGACAACTCATAATAAAGAAGCTGACATCCATACAAAACTCGATCTCTTCCTTAAAAATATCATTTTATGAAAAATATTATAATTTATATTTTTATTTATTTATTGCCCGTCCCCTCTGCTGCTGATTGAAGTTGGAGATGAGAATCACATACAAAATACGGATGGCCTCACGATCCGGATGCGTTTTTGCGTCGAAAACCGTAATTATGTCTGGGAACATAAAAACATGATTTGTTTCCATACATTTGGGCAACTAAAATCACCCTGATAATGAAATAAACAAAAGTAAGTTACATCCGATTAAGTATCATGTACCCTAACTTCATCCAGTATAACGAGGTCCAATATAGATCAACAATGAATGCGACTTTTCGATACAGATTCTTGTACCCTTGTCAAACAGGGGCTCGATCCACAAAGGACTCGTGAAGGTCCGGGTCCGGATAATTCCTCGATGTGGCGTAAAACTACACTCACTCAAGCACGTGATGAATGTATTATGAGAGACAGTCCGTATTTTTCTATGATTCCTATACCGGTGAAGGTCCAGGTTAGAATATTGATCTTCAGTAACCCATGCTTGTTAAAAGGCGACTAACGGGATCGGGTAGTCAGGCTCGCTGGCTTGTTTGACACGTGTCATCGGTTCCCAATTGCGCAAATCGATACTCATGATGTTGATCACTGGATTGTCTGGTCCAGACTCGATTATTTACAGGCCGCCGCCATATAGCTGGAATATTGCTGAGTGCGGCGTAAATCTAAACTCACTCACTCACACGATCCGCAAAACGATCGTAGCTTTACGACCCATCGTAACTATATACTTCATCATAGGCTTATGGATGTCGTAGTGCTACGAACGCTTTGTAGATAGGGACCAGAAATGCAACATGAAGTAACTTGACAACGGTACAAGAATCTGTATCGAAAAGTCGTTCTCACGAAATAGCGAAGTTGTTAGGCATAAAGTTTGTCTATATTGGACGTTCCAACTTCTAAAATGGCACCCAAACAAAAACTAGTTCGTTATATCCGCCAGTTCGTTATAAAAGGTTCGTTACAAGCGTACTTTAACCCAGTAGATTTTAGTATAACCCACTTTCTTCCTGCGCATCACCCGCTCTTTCATACAACCATACGTGTTCATGCATTCAACCCTATTTCTTCCTGAATACAACAAATTTGCAAACGAATATCATCCAATACATCCCCGTATACAACCCAATATATTCATGAATACAATTAGATATAATCATTCATATAACCCAATATATTACCATTATTCATGAAAACAATTATATTTATTATTGCATTCTCACAGCCTAATGTACTCATGATTATAACCATATCAATGCAACACACAACATATGCCTCTATGCAACTCATTATAGCACCGTGTACAACCAAGCTAATGATCTTGACAGACAACTCAGGACAGATATTGCACATTCCTACAGAGTCAGGCATTTAACCAAATATGGTCACGTTTAACACATGTTCTTGCATACAAACAAACCCAATTTTTAAAAACCAAAAAAACAAAACCCGAGCAAATAGAGAGCCTCATTTTTGTCCTAAGTACCAATTTCTTCTTGTGACCCTTGAATCTACACACACATTTTGAATTATCCCAGAATAAAACCAAAGGGTAGAATTCCTATAACCTAATATTGGTTCTACACAAACGGTATATTTGGGTCAGTACACGACAGATTGTAACGATGATAATATTCATGATGACTTGTCTACTCATCGCTAATTCTATGTCAAGCACCGCTCTTGCATGTGGATGATGTAGATGATTCCAGTAATCATGACGATGGAGTTGGTACTGCGTTGCATATAGTGATGTCGTTGTTGAAGATGCATTATGTGTTAATTAAGCAGGCATTTAGATACATTGCATTTCATAAGCACGCACGCACGCACACACTTACGTACGCGCGCACACACAAACACAAGAAACCAAACACGTAGACAGATCCACGCCCACCTTGACACCACCAAGAAACAACAACAACAACAACAACCCCTCTACGCAGAAACAACACCCAGAAACAACGCCTGTTCCCCCAGAAACAGTACCCACAGAAACAACGCCTGTTCCCCCAGAAACAGTACCCACAAACAACGCCTGTTCCCCCAGAAACAGTACCCACAAACAACGCCTGTTCCCCCAGAAACAACACCCAGAAACAACGCCTGTTCCCCCAGAAACAACACCCAGAAACAACGCCTGTTCCCCCAGAAACAGTACCCACAAACAACGCCTGTTCCCCCAGAAACAACACCCAGAAACAACGCCTGTTCCCCCAGAAACAGTACCCACAAACAACGCCTGTTCCCCCAGAAACAGTACCCACAAACAACGCCTGTTCCCCCAGAAACAGTACCCACAAACAACGCCTGTTCCCCCAAAAACAGTACCCAGAAACAACGCCTGTTCCCCCAGAAACAACACCCACAAACAACGCCTGTTCCCCCAGAAACAGTACCCAAAACAACGCCTGTTCCCCAGAAACGTACCTATTCCCCAGAAACAACACCCTGTTCCCCAGAAACAACGCCGCCTGTTCCCCAGAAACAACACCACAAACAACGCCTGTTCCCCCAGCAACAGTACCCAGAAACAACAACACCCACGCAGAAAACAACGTCAACTATCAAACAGAAAGACAAGAAAAATGAACAAAATATCCACACATCAAAGACTAAATGACAAAGAAAACAAAAAATCGAAGCAAAGCAAAATATCAAATATCACAGTCTCTCTCTCTCTCTCTCTCTCTCTCTCTCTCTCTCTCTCTCTCTCTCTCTCTCTCTCTCTCTCTCTCTCTCTCTCTATGTGTGTGTATGTAATCTGGGATTAATTAACGTTTGAATAAAAATGTTTGAATACTTTTCGTTATATCCAGTTATGAAGTTTCTAAAATATTTGAATGGCAGTAAGAATATCCCCGAAACGTTGTGTTAATCGTATTTAGTTGGCATCCATACATTCGCCCCCCCCCCCCCCTCAAGGTCATACTATATTTGCCCGACAGTTTTTTATGTGACAAAATAATAATAATAAATGACTATGTACTAAGAAACATGTTCCCGTACCTATGTAACTGAAATAACGCCGACCCGACGTTTAATTTTACCTCACTCACTTATTTTAGACTATTGAATATTGATGTTCCGGGAAATAACGAAATCGGCTTTAGCAGAAATAGACTATTACATACCAAGTATTACACCAGTTTGGTCATTGTCACGTGAGTGTCCAGTTTTGAGGTATCAAGTCCCCGAAAGTACTATTTTCATTCTTTGATTTCAGAAATACTTGACAATCAGCAGTGTTCTTCACAATCTTTGGATTTCAGAAAAAATATTCCGAGTGTTCGCGGTGTTTACCGAGAATTCTCCCGAATGTTGATCGGCCTTCTCCGACACACGTGTTCGTGTGGATGGTACTGAGGCTGAAGCTCGGTAAGTCCCGATCGCCAGAAGTCGTCAAATTCGTACAACAATCCCACAACGTGTTTGCAGGCCGCGGTGTGTTTCCTGAAACAGGGCATATGTAATATGATGAGAGATGCTTTAATTATTGATGAAGTGAAAGTATATTGGTAATGTCAAGGGTAATGACTGCGTCCTATATCGCTAGCCTTGACTTCACACGGAATAACCAATCTTCAAAATACATGGGAGAGACGATCGCTATCACGCCATGGAATAGAAATAGCGGTTCATGTTTGTTCATGTTTATGTTTTTTATTCAATTTAATCAATTTTCATTAGAGGAAATTGAAAATTTACAGGTTTTTTGTGCATCAATAACCTTAACGCGCACCACTTTTGCCATTGACCCACTTGTAAAGGATAACAACGTTTGTTATGTCATTACAAACGGAATCGATTACCATATTATTTGGTAAATAAAGCGCCCTAAAGAGTGCAATTACTATGGAATTTTACCAATTGTTATAACGTTTGTGATGTTAGAAGATAAATCAATAATCACTTCGTCTGTCTTGTTCGCCCATTTAATTATTTACATCGAAACCATGATACATTTCATTCCGTTTGCAAATTTAAGTTTTGTAATAACCGTACAAAAACTGTATCCACGTATTCTTTATTACAGAAGGTAAATATATTCGGAGGGGTCTCAAATATAGGGTGATTTCTGCAGGATTATAAGCAATAAATATATAAAAGATGAGTACACATATTTCTTCTTGCCATAAAGGAGTTTTATATATATATGGTTCTAGTACAATATATGGCGGTTGGTGTTCAGTTGAACTTGGAGCCAGTATTCTCGTATTGAATTACACATAATACACACTGATAATTGGACATTGCAATAGGTTGTTAATAGTACGTGGGAAAAAAGATCCATTGTGCGACAGCTTTTATCAAACTTGCCGCGGGCACTGCACACGTGCTTTACATGACGGATTGTCAATAGCTGATTGACCTCTTAAATGTAAACAATTCACAATCAATAACACATATGGCAGATTCATTGAAACATTTACCATACAGTTGCGTGGGATCCTTATGGGAAATAACAGGAAGGTTAGGCGTGTATTTAACCTTTCTGATGCGTCTTCTCAAGGTCATTTCTTTCACATATATAAAATACTTACCTGTATGGATTGCACGTGCATTCAGCTTTTACGACTTCAGCCGTGCTCCGGGACAGTTCGACACAAATGTCGTAACAATGTTGATAAGTCTTTTGTCCGCATTTTGCTTTTATGTACATTCTGTCGCTGCCATTAGGCTTGGTAACAAAGACGTTGTGTATGTATCCTTCCCGAAACCTTTCCCTTCCTCTTGTTGCGTTTTTGTCCTTTCGTAGAGAAGCCAGGTAGGACAATATATTGTCACTGTCAAATCGAGGAATCTCTCCTTCCGTGGGCGACCGTGTCCAAAACATATCCATTGTTTCGTTCAGCATGATCATCGATGAGATTCATCCAGGGATGAGGATACTTAATTAAGCATTACAGCATTACCGCCCAACACATTCCTTGTTTGAACTGAGAACTTGATCAACATAGTGCTTGGCGGTTAAAACGCTTGGGATGTCGACGTATCTTTGGCGACAACACACGCAGAACGCTCACAACGGCGTGCTGTTCCACGACCGAGAAACTGAAACAAGCATATATCGATTTTGAAGAGAAACGTAGACATCCGCCTTGAATAGAAACACACCAACATATTTTATTGATAGGTGAATATAGTTATTTGTGTAGATGCTTGAGTATGTGATACTGGTTGTAGCGGTATACTTAAGTATATGTCATGTATAACCTTTGAATGTCGCCTTTGAATAAAACATCTCCAACGTGTATTGTCTGCGATAGATTTTGAACCGAGGAAAGCATTACAATCGATACAGACTTTTGTCATACGTTCAATATTGGCAGGGGTTAAAGAGCATTGATGTCGTGAAACATGTTGTGTTTATTCAGTCGTCCAAATCAGGAAATACTTTGCGGATAAAGGCTGGAGTGTGAAGGATGTAGTCTTTGTCCGAGTAACAAGGGCGCTAAGATTAATTGCTTTAGTGTGGAGTAGATAGGTCTGAATTTGGGGATTAAATATATGGATTTGGTCTGGTAGATTAGGATTACAAGACATGTATGAGGTGGTCTCTCACTCACTCACTCACCCACCCACTCACTCACCCGAAAAACCCACTTACTCACTCACTCACTCTCACTCACCCACCCAGTCACTCACCCAGCCACTTCCCACTCCTGCCTTTGTTTTGGATAGGCTGTGACGTCATGGTCACTGGATCACTCACTCAATCATGACGAGGTGTGTGGGTCACTCACTCCATCATGACGGTGGTGGCAGTATACTATATACTTGTATCAATACTGTCTATATCAATACTGCCTTCAAGCATGTTATATGTATGTATTGAAGGGTATGATGTGTATTGCTGTATTTGTGCGAAGGTATACTGTAAATTGCCGTGTGTGACTTGGAGGGTATGACGTATATTGTTTACACGGCATTGTGTGTGAGTGAGTGAATGAGTTGGGTTTTACGCCGCTTTTAGCAATATTCCAGCAATATCACGGCGGGGGACACCAGAAATGGGCTTCACACAATGTGCCCATGTGGGGAATCGAACCCGGGTCTTCAGCGTGACGAGCGAACGCTTTAACCACTAGGCTACCCCACCGCCCGGCTGTGTGTGGGTGTTGTGGGGTTGGAGGGCTCAGATGTATAGGTTGTGTGCGTGTGTGTTGGAGCTGGTTGGGTGGTGATGATGCGTGTCTGTACATGTTAGGATATGCAGAGTAATACTATATATCTGACCGTGCGTTGGCACGCTTGTATGTGTGTTCATATGAACCCCTGTGTGTGCGTGCGTGCGTGTGTGAATGTAGGGGATGAACCCGTGTGTGTGCATGTGTTTGTGTTTATACGTCTTTGTGTGTGCAAGTATTTGTGTGCAAGTGTTACTGGTGTGCGAATGTTTGTACGTGCGTGTGTGAAAATAGCAGGGCGAACCAGTGTCCCTGTATGTGTTTGTGTGTATGTGTGAGTGAAGGGGCTAGGGTAGCCTATACCTGTACATTCGTATTTGTGCCTGGAAGATATACTCTGTACAAATCTGTATGTATGTGCGCGCGCACGTGTGCGAGTGTGTGTTTGTGTGTTCGAGAGTTTGAGAGCAAGAACGCGGCACCCTCAAGGAAGGAAAATGGAACAAGATAAAGCACTTCTTTAGAAGGTCTCTTCGGACAACAACTTCTTATACCCATTGTCACTTTAAACTACAAAAACTACATCCAGGTACTCTGACATAAGTACGACAAGTACAAGAGGGAAGTTCTACACACACTGAAGCCCTGTCTACAAATCAATCACACATATCTATTGATCTGTAACGGAACTCAGCCGATAATCCTCTAAAAATAGATCACGTTCTGGACATGTCGATATCAACCCAAAAAACAAAACCCCAAAACAACATGCACCGGTTATGACAGTATGATCTATTGCTTACTTCTGACACTATCCAGACCTACAGATCCGTCAGATCTAAGCCAGCCTGTTATCACAAGTTAACAAACGATACAACACAGGCCTTAGACTGCCAATGAAACTGAGCGAGTTTTCTATCATAGATGTAACGCAGGCGTTGTTACAAATCGTGTTAAATGTTTTCTGCCATTTTTACGTATAAATTTCAATGGTACAGTCTGTGCAGATCAGATCGGGAACAAAGTATTCGTTTTTGAGGATATATAGGACTGACTGAGTTTGGTTTTACGCCGCTTTTAGCAATATTCCAGCAACATCACGGCGGGGGACACCAGAAATGGGCTTCACACATTGTACCCATGTGGGGATTCGAACCCGGGTCTTTGGCGTGACGAGCCAACGCTTTAACCACTAGGCTACCCCACCGCCCCTTGAGGATATATAGGATCTACGTGCGATTTTGCATAGAATAATATGCACAACGGTCAGCTTGCCCTGCAGTGTCGTTATTGACGTTAACGTCTTGTTTATTGTTTGTTAACGCCGCACTCAGCAATATTCCAGCTATATGGCGGCATGCTGTAAATAATTGAGTCTGGACCAGACAATCCAGTGATCAACAGCATAAGCATCGATCTACGCCATTGAGATACGATGACATGTGTCAACCAAGTTAGCGAGCCTGATCACCCGATCCCGTTAGTCGCCTTTCACGACAAGCATGGGTTATTGAAGATCAATTCTAACCCGGATGTTCACGAGTTGCAAACAAGGTACAGAACACATGATTCCCGTATCAATACATCACCATCGATCGAATTGCCATTGTGATTTGTTTCATATTCAACCATGATCAAACATGCTACATGCTTTTGTTGCCCAGATAGTCTATATACGTGTGTGAGTCTCTGTCTCTATGTGCATGAGAGTGTGCGCCTATTCATATATGTGTGTCTATGTTTGTATACATGTATGTTGCAAGCATTACGTGTAAGGGATTAATTGATTACATTTTTACATTTTTGGTGAACTGGGTTCAATAGACGAATAACAGACTAAGATAGATTTCATAGAGATATCGACCCTGTTGCCTATTGTATTGAACAATACATGATCCAATGACAGATAGTTAGAAGTCACAGTTGGTTTGGAACGTTGGCATTATAACATTTTTGTATAAACATGTAAACATGTATTTCCCCGCTTCACCATAAACAGATCGTAACACTATTTAAACAATGCGACGGACAAAAGAGAGAAATTAATCAGAGTTATTACAGAAAAAAGCAGTGGTCAAATTACTCTCAGTAGAGTGAGTGAGTGAGTTTAGTTCTACGCCGCACTCAGCAAAACAATCCAGTGATCAACAGCATGAGCATCGATCTGCGCAATGGGGAACCGATGACATGTGTCAACCAAGTCAACGAGCCTGACCACCCTATCCCGTTAGTCGCCTCTTACCTTGGGTTACTGAAGGCACATTCTAACCCGGACCTTCACGGGTCAAACTCTCAGTAGAACGGACCAATACGGGCAATGTGTCCTGAATAGCAAGGGTTCTGTTTAACGAGGTTCGACTATTGTTGTCTGTATTTGGATACACTTGGGTACTTGCTTTCACAGCCAAAGCATTCACGGAAGTCTCAGTGGGGTAAATGTGGATCTAATTTCATAATGCGTTTTAAACAAAGTCGCTGTACTCTTTCCAGGTCAGTATGTGTCACAATATTCTTTCATTACACCACATGAACGTGTTTCATTTGGGCCATGTGAGCCTGGAGCTGATGACAAAAAATCCATCAAAATGATTAAATAGTGCATTTAATTTGATATTTTTCAAACAATCGAATTGAGCTGAAAAATATTATTGAAGTACGTAACACAATTTGTTTGTTACCTTTTATAACTATGTATAGATTTTCTACCAGCTGCGGTCATATTATTGGTTTCGTAATTATGTTATTAGATAATCATGATTGTGAGTGAGTGATGTTTTCCGATGTTTTAATCGTTTTCTAGTTATATCATGGATTGTCGGTTTCATGTAGGACAGTGGGATGAAAGCCCGACGTCATACAGATACTGCTGGTACACGCACCGGAAGAACAGGGATTCGAACCCATGATTATCGGTTTCTGGCGTGCCAAAGGGAGATAACTCTGGGCCACCCATGGCCTCAAATATTATTATGTTTGACATATAAATGTATGAATAATTGAACAGCTGAACTAACGAACGACTGAATGAAATATTCAAAGACAAACACAAATCTGTATTACGACAGATATTTATATTATCTAAATTTGGTTAGTAAATGAGTGAGTGAGTGAGTTGGGTTTTAGCAATATTCCAGAAATATCACGGCGGGGGACACAAGAAATGGGCTTCACACATTGTACCCATGTGGGGAATCGAACACGGGCCGTCGGTGTGACGAGCAAACGCTTTAACCACAAGGCTACTCCGCCGCCCAAATTTGGATAGAGTATAGTGACATATCGCACTGTTGGATTGGTGTGGAGTGTCGTGGTGTTACTGTGATGTGCGCTGTGTGACGCGTGATATGTGATGTGTGATGTGTGATGCGTGATATGTGATGCGTGATGTGTGATGCGTGCTGTGCGATGCGTGATATGTGATGCGTGATGTGTGATGTGTGCTGCGTGATGCGTGATGTGTGCTGCGTGATATGTGATATGTGCTGCGTGCTGTGTACTGTGTGATGTGTGATGTGTGATGTGTGATGTATGATGCGTGATGGGTGATGCATGATGGGTGCTGTGTGCTGTGTGCTGTGTGCTGTGTGATGTTTGATGTGTGGTGTGTGATGCGTGATGTGTGATTTTTTTATCTGTGCTGCGTTCTGTGTGCTGCGTGCTGTGTGATGTGTGATGATGAGTGATGTGTGATGTGTGATGTGTGATATGTGATGCGTGATATGTGCTGCGTGCTGCGTGATGTGTTGTGTGTGCTGTGATGCGTGATGTGTTATGTGTGATGCGTGATGTGTGATGTGTGATGCGTGATGCGTGATGTGTGATGTGTGATGTGTGATATGTGATATGTGATGTGTGATGCGTGATGTGTGCTGCGTGCTGTGTGCTGCGTGATGTGTGATGTGTGATGTGTGATGAGTGATGCGTGATGTATGATGCATGATGGGTGATGTGTGATGGGTGATGTTTGATGTGTTGTGTGCTGTGATGCGTGATGTGTGATATGTGATGCGTGATATGTGATGTGTGATGTGTGATGCGTGATGTGTGATGCGTGATGTGTGATGTGTGATGGGTGATGTGTGCTGTGTGATGCGTGTTGCGTGCTGTGTGCTGTGTGATGCGCGCTGTGTGATGCGTGCTGTGTGCTGCGTGATGTGTGCTGTGTGATGCTTGACTGTGGTGTTGTGTGTGTCACATGTGGCGATTACTTTCTGTGGCGTTGTGTTGTGTTATTGGTATATATTGCATTTACTTTATTTTATCACAAATATATGGTCACGATAAACAATGCTATCATGGGTATATTGACGCCGGTCTTAACGATAAACAATGTTATCATGAGTATATGGACGCCGGTCATAACAATGAACAATGTTATCATGAGTATATGGACGCCGGTCATAACAATGAACAATGTTATCATGAGTATATGGACGCCGGTCATAACAATGAACAATGTTATCATGAGTATATGGACGCCGGTCATAACAATAAACAATGTTATCATGAGTATATGGACGCCGGTCAATAACAATGATCAAACAATGTTATCATGAGTATTTGGACGCCGGTCATAACAATAAACAATCGTTATCATGAGTATATGGACGCCGGTCAATAACGATAAACAATGTTATCATGAGTATATGGACGCCGGTCATAACAATGAACAATGTTATCATGAGTATATTGACGCCGGTCATAACAATGAACAATGTTATCATGAGTATATGGACGCCGGTCATAACGATGAACAATGTTATCATGAGTATTGGACGCCGGTCATAACAATGAACAATGTTATCATGAGTATATGGACGCCGGTCATAACAATGAACAATGTTATCATGAGTATATGGACGCCGGTCATAACAATGAACAATGTTATCATGAGTATATGGACGCCGGTCATAACAATGAACAATGTTATCATGAGTATATGGACGCCGGTCATAACGATGATGAACAATGTTATCATGAGTATATGGACGCCGGTCATAACAATGAACAATGTTATCATGAGTATATGGACGCCGGTCATAACAATGAACAATGTTATCATGAGTATATGGACGCCGGTCATAACAATGAACAATGTTATCATGAGTATATGGACGCCGGTCATAACAATGAACAATGTTATCATGAGTATATGGACGCCGGTCAATAACGATAAACAATGTTATCATGAGTATATGGACGCCGGTCATAACAATGAACAATGTTATCATGAGTATATGGACGCCGGTCATAACAATGAACAATGTTATCATGAGTATATGGACGCCGGTCATAACAATGAATATGGACAATGTTATCATGAGTATATGGACGCCGGTCATAACAATGAACAATGTTATCATGAGTATATGGACGCCGGTCATAACAATGAACAATGTTATCATGAGTATATGGACGCCGGTCATAACAATGAACAATGTTATCATGAGTATATGGACGCCGGTCATAACGATGAACAATGTTATCATGAGTATATGGACGCCGGTCATAACGATGAACAATGTTATCATGAGTATATGGACGCCGGTCATAACAATGAACAATGTTATCATGAGTATATAGACGCCGGTCATAACGATGAACAATGTTATCATGAGTATATGGACGCCGGTCATAACAATGAACAATGTTATCATGAGTATATGGACGCCGGTCATAACAATGAACAATGTTATCATGAGTATATGGACGCCGGTCAATAACGATAAACAATGTTATCATGAGTATATGGACGCCGGTCATAACAATGAACAATGTTATCATGAGTATATGGACGCCGGTCATAACAATGAACAATGTTATCATGAGTATATGGACGCCGGTCAATAACGATAAACAATGTTATCATGAGTATATTAGACGCCGGTCATAACAATGAACAATGTTATCATGAGTATATGGACGCCGGTCATAACAATGAACAATGTTATCATGAGTATATGGACGCCGGTCATAACAATGAACAATGTTATCATGAGTATATGGACGCCGGTCAATAACGATGAACAATGTTATCATGAGTATTTGGACGCCGTTTATAACAATAAACAATGTTATCATGAGTATATGGACGCCGGTCATAACAATGAACAATGTTATCATGAGTATATGGACGCCGGTCAATAACGATAAACAATGTTATCATGAGTATATGGACGCCGTTTATAACAATAAACAATGTTATCATGAGTATATGGACGCCGGTCATAACAATGATCAATGTTATCATGAGTATATGGACGCCGGTCATAACGATGAAGAATGTTATCATGAGTATATGGACGCCGGTCATAACAATGAACAATGTTATCATGAGTATATGGACGCCGGTCATAACAATGAACAATGTTATCATGAGTATATGGACGCCAGTCATAACGATGAACAATGTTATCATGAGTATATGGACGCCGGTCAATAACGATGAACAATGTTATCATGAGTATATGGACGCCGTTTATAACAATGAACAATGTTATCATGAGTATATTGACGCCGGTCATAACGATGAACAATGTTATCATGAGTATATGGACGCCGGTCATAACAATGAACAATGTTATCATGAGTATATGGATATGGACGCCGGTCATAACAATGAACAATGTTATCATGAGTATATGGACGCCGGTCATAACAATGAACAATGTTATCATGAGTATATGGACGCCGGTCATAACAATGAACAATGTTATCATGAGTATATGGACGCCGGTCATAGTATATGGACGCCGGTAACAATGAACAACGTTATCATGAGTATATGGACGCCGGTCATAACAATGAACAATGTTATCATGAGTATATGGACGCCGGTCATAACAATGAACAATGTTATCATGAGTATATGGACGCCGGTCATAACATAAACAATGAACAATGTTATCATGAGTATATATGGACGCCGGTCATAACAATGAACAATGTTATCATGAGTATATGGACGCCGGTCATAACAATGAACAATGTTATCATGAGTATATGGACGCCGGTCATAACAATGAACAACGTTATCATGAGTATATGGACGCCGGTCATAACAATGAACAATGTTATCATGAGTATATGGACGCCGGTCATAACAATGAACAACGTTATCATGAGTATATGGACGCCGGTCATAACAATAAACAACATTATAATAAATTCACCAATCAACACGCTTTGTGACCCTATCAAAAACGTCAATGTAGATAATAATCATCGACTACTTACAAATATTCTTGGCCCCTTGTAACTTTAGAGTCAATCACCGCAGTTAGCATGAGCCATGGGCTTTGGTCGACCTCAGTCGCCCGGATCAATCTAGCAGCAGTGACCATATATACTCTTTTCAGGTCAGTATGTGTCACAATATTCTTTCATTACACCACATGGACGTGTTTCATTTGGGCCACGTGAGCCTGGAGCTTATGACAAAAAATCCATCAAAATGATTAAATAGTGCATTTAATTTGATATTTTTCAAACAATCGAATTGAGCTGAAAAATATTATTGAAGTACGTAGCACAATTTGTTTGTTACCTTTTTATAACTATGTATAGGTTTTCTACGAGCTGTGGTCATATTATTGGTTTCGTAATTATATTATTACAGACAGACAGACAGACAGACAGACTTTATTTGCATATGAGGCCGAGAGGACATGGCAATACAGACTGTTTTGTGGCGTGAGCGACTTGTGGTGATACATTTCATGTAATTGTTTGCAAAGATTCATAGGTATATAAATACATATGGATGAATGAATATACACATTGAATAATAATGTATAGTTAGTGATGTACAAACTTCTTGAGAAGCAATTTAGACTTGGTGCATAAACCTGGGGGTAGACAAATGCATAGCATAATGATGTAAGGTATACAAAGTCCACGGGAGGGATTAAACTTAGGTCTCTCTAATCTTAAATATCTTTGTTATAAAAACTGCCAAACACAAGGTAAGTTTTTAATTTTTGTTGGCTCGTAGTCCTACAAACTTATCGAAAGATGTGCGCTTTATATAATATTCTGGTAGATACTTTTGTTTGCTCTCCTCCTACCTAGGACATACAAGGAGGACATGGAACTCGTCTTCATCTGTGTTTCTACAGAACGGGCAGAGCGATGCATCAGGGTCAGGGCTTTCAGCCCGACTGAATTTTGTATACAGAAATTATGAGCATTACATCTGAACTTGGAAAGAGCTCCGCGGAGCTTATGGCATATCAGGGATTCAAGGTAAAATTCCACATTATTGTCAAACGTAATGGCGTAAGTATATAGGAAGTTTGATGATCGGACATTGTTGGACCAACCCTGGATATATACTACCCACATAAAGAAACTGTGCATTGTCAAAATATTATCCCAGTTGATAAGTACGATAACAATGTCAAAGGTACATATAAACTTTAATGGAGGGATCATGAGACCATAAGAAGTCGGGAGAATTTCAATTGAAAAGTCAATCACAATGACGTCACGAGTCCACAAGCGGGACAGGGGTCAAACGACCATGTCACAAGCTCAATAACGGGTATGTCCACCATCGGCATTGAGAACAGCAGTGCATCGACGACGCATAGAGCCTATCAAACGTGCAAGGAAGGCTTGTGGGATGTCACGCCAGATTCTCTCAAGTTCTGTTGCAAGGTCAAGGACGTTATCTGGCGGATTAGGAAGACGGCGTAGACGTCGATCCATCTCGTCCCAAACATGCTCTATCGGGGAGAGATCCGGTGAATTTGCAGGCCAAGGCAGTAAGTCAACGTTGTGATGTTGCAAGAAATCCATAGCAACCCTTGCCGTATGAGGGCGGGCATTGTCCTGTTGGAATGTTAACCCAGAGCCATGACGTTGCAGAAAAGGAATTGCCACAGGTCGAAGAATCTGATCCCTGTAGCCCACACCAGTTAAGTTGCCCTGAACAATCACCAAAGGAGTTCTTTGGCGTGCTGTTATTCCACCCCAAATCATCACGGAACCACCACTAAAGCGATTCCTCTCCAAGACACAGGCCTGTGCATAACGTTCTCCCACGCGTCTATAGGCACGTTGACGTCCATCACTATGGGAAATGTTAAACCTGGACTCATCTGTAAAAACAACATTTCTCCACCAAAACAAGGGTCTGCGGACATGATTTCGGCACCACATTCGGCGAGCTTGTCGATGACGTTGTGTCAGGATAGGCCGTATGGCGGGACGTCGTGGTCTGATCCCGTGATGACGTAAACGTTGTCGAACTGTGTTGGGGTGGATACGGCGAAGTCCTGGGATGGTTCGGGCAGTCATCACTGCAGTCTGAAACCTGTGGCGAAGATGGGTCACCCTTATCCATATGTCCTGTCTTGGCGTTGTTACACGTGGACGTCCAGAACGTGGCCGATCGATGACGTCATTTGTGTTCTGGTAGCGTCTCACCAGTGCAGAAATGGTGTTCCGGTGGCAGTGGAAATGTGCAGCCACTTGTCGTTGAGACATTCCCCCACGGACCATCCCAATGGCCTCATGACGTTGTGCAGACGTGAGCCTTGGCATGCTATGCGTTTCAATAGCCGTTTAGTTTTTTGAACGATCGCAAGGGCAGGGGTTGAGCTTTCCAAAGTGACAGTATTGTGCGGCATTCATTTGCTCTGTTTCTCTTTCCCGGAATGCACGTGCAACAACGTATTGCACGTCTCAAGGACGAACCCACTGACGTCACGGAACGTGGCACGTGCATGCATGTTGGATACATGTCACTAATCTCTGAGTTTAAATCCTTATGTGTCTACACAGGTTTGATAAATTTAGATTTTAAATTTTTGTATGCACAGTTTCTTTATGTGCCTAGTATATATAACATGGCATCTCTGTTTAAATGTTTGCAAGAATACTTTATCAGTACCTATGCCCTGTGCGAGCCACGCCCATCCAAAACCATAACTAAATAGTAACTGCCTAACATGTCAGACCCAATTTACATCCCTTGTGTCGTCAAGTCATTTTAGCATATAGTAGCATCGTTTTGAATAGCTGGGTTGTCTAAGTAATCGGATCCAATACGATATAACTCTGGCTTTACAGTTTATGGCTGACGGGTAACGGTCACATTCAGCCTTAACTGCTCTAATTGGGCGAGCGATAACCAATTCCAAGAAGGAATTTGCAAAACTTAGTGTGTACTTTCTCTATCGAAGGTCTTTCTTGTATTCCTCAGATTTCGGCACCGTAAAGTAAGATTGGTTGTATTTTACTATCAAATATAGTGGACGCAGATTTTATTGAGATGTTGCGGAACTTACGGATAAAAAGTTTGACATTGTGTAAAGCTTTCTCGGCTTGTTTCGCCAGTGTTTCACAGGCTACAGAAAATACATGTCTACATGAAAACACGATGACTAGGTATTAGTGATAAGAGGTAACTTATAATAAGTTTCCATTTACTTGCCATCTCTCGTGTTTTAATATTTTGTCGCCATTTTTGAAGATTACTATCTTCGTTTTATCGGAATTAATAGTTTATCTCCATTTTTTACAATATTCGTATAAAATGTCAATTTTCTTCTGACACTGCAACCAAAAATGGCCACGCTATCCGCGAATAAGAGTATAGACAATGTGTGAATAGTTTCATCAATGAATATACCTGTTATGTCACTAGAGGTCATATGTTTCACGAGCTCATCTGTATACATTTATGAATAGTACTGGCGAAAGTATACAGCCCTGTCTTACCCCAGAAGAAGTAGAAAACACATCCGTCATGCTAAAATTTGAATATCTTACAGCTGCCCTTACATCGTTATAGATATTACGGAGTAGACTTGAAATTTTACCATGCAAACCTCTTTGTAGTAGTAAGTATAATCATTTATGTTTATCAACGCTATCAAATGCCTTCTTGAAGTCAACAAAAATACAGTAGAACTTTCCTTTCGTTTTACGTTTATGCTTGTGTATTAGAGAATGTAATACATATGCTTGGTCAATTGTCGAGTAGCCCTCTCGAAAGCCTGCTTGGGATTCTGATATATGACTTTGTACAGCCAGCTAGAATTCAATGTATCAATGATAGATGTAAATACTTTGCTTACTATATCTAACAAAGTTATACCCTGAAGTTATTTGAGTCGATTGTCGTACCGCCTTTGTGTAATGGCACTACCAAGCCTAAATTCCATGACTTTGGGAACACGCCAGTACTAAGGATGTGAAGAAAACATGAATGTAGATGCGGCAGGAGTAGACGCTGACTGGTTTATTGCTTCCGGCAGGATACCGTCCTCCGCCTGGGAGACTTATCATTTTTAAGATTCTTAATTGCATTTAAAATTTCATCGTTTGATATTTCACCTCCAATAATTTCATCACAATCTGCACAAACCTGGCAATCAGGGACATTGTGTGAAGATAGAAAATGTTCTACATGGACCTCAAAAGAGTTGGCATTATTATTCTGTATTTTTAACCATTGTTTGAAAAACGTAAACCACACGTCCAGTGTGATATTAGCTGGCCCTGCAGTTCTATGACAATACTTCTTTACAGACTCCCAAAAGCTTTCACAGTCCTTCCATGTTGCAGCTGAAGTTACCTCATCTATAATGGCTTGTATAATAACTGTTTTTTCTTACGGGAAAGCTTCTTAAATTCTCTTTTAGATTCTAAATACAAAATTTTAATACTAAATTCTTACAGTAGATATTATCATTTGATTTTCTAAATTTACTGAAAGAATCACATTTCATACGTTTTAATTCCTCGCATTCAGCATCAAGGGAAGGAGTATGCATATGGTTGTCAGAAGGTAATCGCCGTGTTACGGGCAAAATCGTAAATCATGGTAACATGTTAATTTAAAACAGCTGATGAAAAGCAGACTTTTGGCCGTGTATGGTTTCAAATGTTCTAACAAACAAGTTGTTTAATTTATCTAATGCACAATCGACACTTAATTTCAATGAGTCATCAAATATGGCATTAAAACCGGCCAGTATCTTAAAAATATATTGGTGAACTCACCACTATGTGCCCAGGCCCAAGTAAATCGGTGTACAGCGAAGGTAGCCGCACGTGCAGATATATGTGGAGCCATGTCATGTGACTGGGCCCTGTCATGTGACCGGGCCATCGGTAGTGACACACTAACTCTTAAAGGGAGATGATCCGATATATGGAAGCACCTGCATATGTCAAGCAAGTTCTTTTCCTGTGTATTAACTACCTGGTCCTTGGTATATTAAACATGTCACAATCATACTCGACATCGTCAATAGGTACATATTCAATTGAGTCATTTTCTATAAAACATTGCTGAGGTAAATTACGCAAATATTTATGTGAAAACTCAATTCCTATTAAGTCCACTGTGTACAGGTACGCTTGATTTTATGTACATACTCACTAAATTTCATCTTACATGCGTACACACAAAATATACTGCAAACAAAAAGTATGGGAACACCTTAAAATTGCATAGTCATATATAAACTTAAACGTGGTGAGGTCATTTATACTCTAAGGTATATGCAACTTTTTGTGTGTTTGATGGGCACTGTAAACGACATGTTGGAACATGCAGTAAAGCAGCTGATTCAATATTCGTTGAGTTTGAGTGAAATGAAACATTGTCAAAAACAACGAAAAACAAGGGTGCTGAAACACACCAGCACTATGTTTGATTCAAACGCCCAAACACAACAGCCTAGTGCATGTGGAAGACAGACTTCCCATGCAGCTTGTGGCAACGTTTCCTGTAAAAGAAACTACAGACAGTATTGAAGCCTCACAACTTCTTCACCATACCACAGCGCAGACCGTTAAGCGACCACGACAAAACCAAAAACAAGGTCATTGCATGGTTACAGGATGGTGAATCCATACGAAGTACTGCTCACCGTTTTCAGGTGTCTACCTCTGTCCTTAACAGACTGAGGGGCAGGTTCCAGGCCACTGATTGAGTACAGGAGAGACTTCGCTCTGGAAGACCCAGAGAAACATCAAGGGCAGATGACCGATGTGTTGTGCTCAAAGCCCTTCGGAACCGATTCACAAATGCCAGTGTCCAGCTGCCAGAGGCTGCATGGGACGTCTGTCTTCCACATCATGCACTAGGCTGTTGTGTTTGGGCGTTTGAATCAAACATGGTGCTGGTGTAGTATAGATAAAATAACTGGTCTTTCTGGTCGTTTCTCATATTACAGATCCGCCGTCTACGTGGAGACGTGGCAATTCATACAATCAACTCCTTGTCTCGCCTTGAGAAGAGGCACATCCTCTCAAGTAACCATCTCACCTTCCTGATGAGATGCCGAGATCAACAGATCATCCCTAAAGGCCTACAGCTCCGCTCTCCTGTCCAGTCTGTAGCTGCTAAAACCATCCTTCACCAAGCTTCCAGAAAACTCCACACTGATCATGAACGCATCCGACATCACCGAAAGATCAAGGCCACCACCACAGCTGCCATCAGTTATCTCCACACCTCTGTCAACAACACGCTTGAACCAGAACTGTTCTCATCCTTACGAACTGCCCAGACTACCGCTAACACCAAACTAGACACCTCAACGAAGAATGGACATATCATGAAGCTACAACAACTGGCCACTTCAGCAACCAAATCGAACGAGTATCGTGCCACCAACATAAGAATTGTCAACATCAGCAATAAACCCCTTACTAACCATCAGGTAGATGCTTTGGCCAAGGGTCTAAAATTTGCTCCCACTTCTGCACGAGTTAACTCTGATATATTCATCGCCAATATCGAGAAAGGCCTTCACCAACCAGCACCTGGTGGAAAAGTTGACTACCTCCGACACCAGATCAGCAACATTCTGCAGAAGGCCCAACCCCAGAAACCCAACATCACCACAGCTGAGAAAAAGCCATTAAGCAATTGAGACAAGACCCTGACATCGTCATCGCCCCAGCTGACAAGGGCAGAGCCACTGTTGTCCTAGACAAACACCATGGTAGACAACCAGCTGGACCACACCACTACATATAAGAGGATCCACAAGGACCCCACTGCCAAACTGGATCGCCAACACAAGGCCACCCTGAAAACCCATGCGTGACAAATATGAACTCTCCATAGTTCTGTATCGAAAACTATCTACATCCCATCCTCAGCCACCCTATGCCCGTGCTACAGTGAAGATCCACAAGAAACCTGTGAAAACCCGCCATCTGGTATGTTCCCGTGACACTGTATTCTACAACACAGCTCAACATCTTACCCAAGTACTCTCTCCTTTAGGCAAATCTGCTAACTCGTTCATCAAGAACTCTACTGATTTCTGCAACAAAATCCGTGATATAATTAAACCAGGCCCCATTGTCAGTTACGATGTAGTAGACCTCTTCACTAGTGTACCAAGAGAAGAAGCCCTGTTAGCACTACGCTACCAAATCGACCTTGAACAACCCCTCAACACCAGCCTCTCAACCGACTCTATCATCAACCTCACCGCCGCCTGCATCAACTCCACCTACTTTACCTGGGGTGATGACTTCTATGAAACCGCCTCCGTGGTGTAGGGGTTAGAGCGCCCGCCCGGAGAGCGGCAGGTCGCGGGTTCGATCCCCGACCGCGTCATACCAAAAGACGTTAAAATATGGTACTTGTTGGTCCCTGCCTGGCGCTCGGCATTCATGGGTACAACAAGGACTGGTCGGTTCGGGAGTCAGTATAATGTGTCTGAGTGGGGTATTCATGCTTCACTGCGGCATGGTATCTCACTGGGCTAGCACTATAAACCAGCTTAAGTCTGGGTTAGTACAAGCAGCCGCACATACACATACACACGCATGCACGTCTTCATATGAGCGAAATATTCTCAAGCACGACGTTAAACCCAATTTCACCTCACCTCACCTCACCTCACTTCTATGAACAGATTCACGGACTCCCCATGGGCTCACCTCTACCCCCATTCTAACCGAAATTTACATCACAGAACTCGAAGAGAAAGCACTACAAACTTCACCTGTAAAACCAACCTGCTGGTACCGGAAAGTGGAGGATACTTTCCTCATCCTCCACCCTGATCATGATCCCATCCAGCTTCTCACCCATCTAAACAACCAACATCCCCGCATCAAATCTACGATGGAGACTGAGCAGAACAACCAACTACCCTTCCTTGACGTCCTTGTATCCCATACCACCTCCAACCATCTCCAGACCACTGTGTACAGAAAACCCACAAATACGGATCAATACATCCACTACAACTCCAATCATCCTCCCAATGTTAAGACCGGCATCATATCTACTCTAACTAGAAGAGCGAAGAATATCTACTCAACAAACCTGAACGACGAAATTCAACATCTGAAGAGAGCCTTTGTAGGATTAAACAACTACCCAGCCCAAATAGTCCACAGAACCATTGCTGCTACCCTGTCACCTCCCGCCGATAGACCCAAGCCTGATTCAGACCCCATCAAGATCTCTATTCCCTACGTTGGTAAACCATCACACCAAATCAGCCGACTCCTACAACAACAAGCAGGCATCGATACCATCTTCTCGTCATCCTCCAGCCTCAACAACCTGCTCCATGCTAACGGAAGAAAACATCCAACTTTCGACAACAAAACCCCGAAATGTGTGATTTACAAAATAAACTGTGATTGTGGACAGAGTTACATAGGCGAAACCTCCCGGCCTATCAACACCCGTGTGAAAGAACACCAGACCTCCGTCACCAAGTCCGACAGCAAATCAGCCATCTCTGATCACATCCAATCGAACCCTAATCACCACATAAACTGGACTGACATCACCATTCTGGCCAACAACCAAAAGGACTTCACCAAACGAAAACTCACCGAAGCCATTCATATCAAACGTCATAAACCTACCATCAATCGAGATCAAGGATATTACATTCCATCTGCTTATGATGCACTCCTCCACCAAACCCAATCAGCTGTATACACATCTCCTCCTTGCTTAAACTAATCCCCTCCCGCTTTCATTTGTACATCTCTGGCTTCTATGCCTTCCCCCATTGTCTACCCACTGGCTTCATCACCTCTAAGCCCACCCTGTTGTGTTAATTACCTTGTTATGTTGTTTTCTTTGTTACACTCAGTATGTATACATTGCCACCAATGTATGTTACATTCCTGCTTGACAACGGTACAAGAATCTGTATCGAAACGTCGCACTCTCGTAATAAAGAAGTTGTTATCCATAAAGTTTGTCAATTTTGTACTTCCCAGCTTCCAAAATGCCACTCAAAGAACAGATCAAATTTTTATATCAAACACATAAACCAACATTGGAACTTTACTTTATTTTTACAATTAATTGAAAATGGCAAAATACGCAATTAAGTTTGAGTGAGGTGGGTGCAATTTATTTGGTTACTCAAAGGAAAATTAGGATACCCAATTGAGATGAACACAAGCGAGTACATAACTCAATGACCCAAAGTGTGATCTGCAGCTCTGATTATCACCAAATAGAGATATACTGAGATTTGGAAATTCATCCACTAAAGTTTGCAGTCTAGTTTCGAGTATGTCCACACCCGGTACAGTCTATGTTAGTAGATGCAGTTGTAGCAGCATCAGTCTATGTTAGTAGATGCAGTTGTAGTAGCATCAGTCTATGTTAGTAGATGCTGTTGTAGCAGCATCAGTCTATGTTAGTAGATGCAGTTGTAGCAGCATCAGTCTATGTTAGTAGATGCAGTTGTAGCAGCATCAGTCTATGTTAGTAGATGCAGTTGTAGCAGCATCAGTCTATGTTAGTAGATGCAGTTGTAGTAGCATCAGTCTATGTTAGTAGATGCAGTTGCAGCATCAGTCTATGTTAGTAGATGCAGTTGTAGTAGCATCAGTCTATGTTAGTAGATGCAGTTGTAGCAGCATCAGTCTATGTTAGTAGATGCAGTTGTAGCAGCATCAGTCTATGTTAGTAGATGCAGTTGCAGCAGCAGTCTATGTTAGTAGATGCAGTTGTAGTAGCATCAGTCTATGTTAGTAGATGCAGTTGTAGCAGCATCGGTCTATGTTAGTAGATGCAGCTGTAGCAGCATCAGTCTATGTTAGTAGATGCAGTTGTAGCAGCATCAGTCTATGTTAGTAGATGCAGCTGTAGCAACATCGGTCTATGTTAGCAGATGCAGCTGTAGCAGCATCAGTCTATGTTAGCAGATGCAGTTGCAGCAGCATCAGTCTATGTTAGCAGATGCAGTTGCAGCAGCATCAGTCTATGTTAGTAGATGCAGTTGTAGCAGTATCGGTCTATGTTAGTAGACGCAGTTGCAGCAGCATCAGTCTATGTTAGTAGATGCAGCTGTAGCAGCATCGGTCTATGTTAGTGGATGCAGCTTGTAGCAGCAGCAGTCTATGTTAGTAGATGCAGCTGCAGCAGCATCAGTCTATGTTAGTAGATGCAGCTTGTAGCAGCATCAGTCTATGTTAGTAGATGCAGTTGCAGCAGCAGTCTATGTTAGTAGATGCAGCTGCAGCAGCATCAGTCTATGTTAGCAGATGCAGCTGCAGCAGCATCAGTCTATGTTAGTAGATGCAGCTGTAGCAGCATCGGTCTATGTTAGTAGATGCAGCTGTAGCAGCATCAGTCTATGTTAGTAGATGCAGCTTGCAGCAGCATCAGTCTATGTTAGTAGATGCAGCTTGTAGCAGCATCAGTCTATGTTAGTAGATGCAGTTGTAGCAGCATCAGTCTATGTTAGTAGATGCAGTTGCAGCAGCATCAGTCTATGTTAGTAGATGCAGTTGTAGCAACATCAGTCTATGTTAGTAGATGCAGTTGCAGCAGCATCAGTCTATGTTAGTAGATGCAGTTGCAGCAGCATCAGTCTATGTTAGTAGATGCAGTTGTAGCAGCATCAGTCTATGTTAGTAGATGCAGTTGCAGCAGCATCAGTATATGTTAAAGCAGATGCAGTTGCAGTAGCATCAGTCTATGTTAGTAGATGCAGCTGTAGTAGCATCAGTCTATGCTTAGTAGATGCAGTTGTAGCAGCATCAGTCTATGTTAGTAGATGCAGTTGTAGCAGCATCAGTCTATGTTAGTAGATGCAGTTGTAGCAGCATCAGTCTATGTTAGTAGATGCAGTTGCAGCAGCATCAGTCTATGTTAGTAGATGCAGTTGTAGCAGCATCAGTCTATGTTAGCAGATGCAGGTGCAGTAACATCAGTCTATGTTAGTAGATGCAGTTGTAGCAGCATCAGTCTATGTTAGTAGATGCAGTTGTAGCAGCATCAGTCTATGTTAGTAGATGCAGTTGCAGCAGCATCAGTCTATGTTAGCAGATGCAGTTGCAGTAGCATCAGTCTATGTTAGTAGATGCGGTTGTAGCAGCATCAGTCTATGTTAGTAGATGCAGTTGTAGCAGCATCAGTCTATGTTAGTAGATGCAGTTGTAGCAGCATCAGTCTATGTTAGTAGATGCAGCTGCAGCAGCATCAGTCTATGTTGGCAGCAGATGCAGTTGCAGTAGCATCAGTCTATGTTAGTAGATGCAGTTGTAGCAGCATCAGTCTATATGTTAGCAGATGCAGTTGCAGTAGCATCAGTCTGGTTAGTAGATGCAGTTGTAGCAGCATCAGTCTATGTTAGTAGATGCAGTTGTAGCAGCATCAGTCTATGTTAGTAGATGCAGTTGTAGCAGCATCCAGTCTATGTTAGTAGATGCAGGTTGCAGCAGCATCAGTCTATGTTAGTAGATGCAGTTGTAGCAGCAGCATCAGTCTATGTTAGTAGATGCAGTTGTAGCAGCATCAGTCTATGTTAGTAGATGCAGTTGTAGCAGCATCAGTCTATGTTAGTAGATGCAGTTGTAACAGCATCAGTCTATGTTAGTAGATGCAGTTGTAGCAGCATCAGTCTATATTAGTAGATGCAGTTGCAGCAGCATCAGTCTATGTTAGTAGATGCAGTTGCAGTAACATCAGTCTATGTTAGTAGATGCGGTTGTAGCAGCAGCAGTCTATGTTAGTAGATGCAGCCAGCATCATCAGTCTATGTTAGTAGATGCAGTTGTAGCAGCAGCAGCAGTCTATGTTAGTAAGATGCAGTTGTAGCAGCATCAGTCTATGTTAGTAAATGCAGTTGTAGCAGCTTGTTAGCAGTCTATGTTAGTAGATGCAGATTTGCAGCAGCAGCGATCTATGTTAGTAGATGCAGTTGTAGCAGCATCAGTCTATGTTAGTAGATGCAGTTGTAGCAGCAGCAGTCTATGTTAGTAGATGCAGTTGCAGCAGCATCAGTCTATGTTAGTAGATGCGCCGTTGCCGGCATCAGTCTATGTTAGTAGATGCAGTTGTAGCAGCATCAGTCTATGTTAGTAGGAATGCAACCCAGTTGTAGATACAGCATCAGTCTATGTTAGTAGATGCAGTTGTAGCAGCAGCAGTCTATGTTAGTAGATGCAGTTGTAGCAGCATCAGTCTATGTTAGTAGATGCAGTTGTAGCAGCATCAGTCTATGTTAGTAGATGCAGTTGTAGCAGCATCAGTCTATGTTAGTAGATGCAGTTGCAGCATCAGTCTATGTTAGTAGATGCAGTTGTAGCAGCATCAGTCTATGTTAGTAGATGCAGTTGTAGCAGCATCAGTCTATGTTAGTAGATGCAGTTGTAGCAGCATCAGTCTATGTTAGTAGATGCAGTTGCAGCAGCATCAGTCTATGTTAGTAGATGCAGTTGTAGCAGCATCAGTCTATGTTAGTAGATGCAGTTGTAGCAGCATCAGTCTATGTTAGTAGATGCAGCTGTAGCAGCATCAGTCTATCAGTAGCAGCATGTCTATGTTAGTAGATGCAGTTGTAGCAGCATCAGTCTATGTTAGTAGATGCAGTTGTAGCAGCATCAGTCTATGTTAGTAGATGCAGTTGTAGCAGCATCAGTCTATGTTAGCGAGATGCAGTTGCAGCAGCATCCAGTCTATGTTAGTAGATGCATCAGTCTATGTTAGTAGATGCAGTTGCAGCAGCATCAGTCTATGTTAGTAGATGCAGTTGTAGCAGCATCAGTCTATGTTAGTAGATGCAGTTGTAGCAGCATCAGTCTATGTTAGTAGAGATGCAGTTGTAGCAGCATCAGTCTATGTTAGTAGATGCAGTTGTAGCAGCATCAGTCTATGTTAGTAGATGCAGTTGTAGCAGCATCAGTCTATGTTAGTAGATGCAGTTGCAGCAGCATCAGTCTATGTTAGCAGATGCAGTTGTAGCAGCATCAGTCTATGTTAGTAGATGCAGTTGTAGCAGCATCAGTCTATGTTAGTAGATGCAGTTGTAGCAGCATCAGTCTATGTTAGTAGATGCAGTTGTAGCAGCATCAGTCTATGTTAGTAGATGCAGTTGTAGCAGCATCAGTCTATGTTAGCAGATGCAGTTGTAGCAGCATCAGTCTATGTTAGTAGATGCAGTTGTAGCAGCATCAGTCTATGTTAGTAGATGCAGTTGTAGCAGCATCAGTCTATGTTAGTAGATGCAGTTGTAGCAGCATCAGTCTATGTTAGTAGATGCAGTTGTAGCAGCATCAGTCTATGTTAGTAGATGCAGTTGTAGCAGCATCAGTCTATGTTAGTAGATGCAGTTGCAGCAGCATCAGTCTATGTTAGTAGATGCAGTTGTAGCAGCATCAGTCTATGTTAGTAGATGCAGTTGTAGCAGCATCAGTCTATGTTAGTAGATGCAGTTGTAGCAGCATCAGTCTATGTTAGTAGATGCAGTTGTAGCAGCATCAGTCTATGTTAGTAGATGCAGTTGCAGCAGCATCAGTCTATGTTAGTAGATGCAGTTGCAAGCAGCATCAGTCTATATGCAGTAGATGCAGTAGATGCAGCAGCAGCATCAGTCTAAACAAAACCAAAACTGTTGCTTTAATCAGAAACATGTCACTAACCAGGAAAACACAATCACCAAGTCTTCGTTGGTTTAATCAGAAACATTTCACTAACCAGGAAATCACAATCACACAGTCTTCGTGTACACGATGGAAATAGTTTGCTACTGATTTCCTAATGTAAACTGCAATACCTCCGCTATATCTACCTATATTACACACTTTGTAAACATTCGCTATATCTACCTATATTACACACTTTCTTCCAAACACATTGGAAGGAAATTTGATCATGGAATGTATTAGCAAAATCATTCGAGTTCTTGGCCCACGTTGCACTAAATGCTTAAGTGTCAAAGGAGGAGAGGGGAATGATGGAGTTTAACTTACAATAAAGGACCATTCATATTCCAAACAAGAAAAGATGCTGTTATTCTGGCAGTTGCAAACTACATTGATAATTTGCACCCTGCTCATGGTGAGTGGGGACCACAGGGGTTCGAATCACTGTTTGGACAATAAATTTCAAAATTTAAAATCTAGACTTTTGCAATCGTATATTGTTTTCATATGTTATAATTAAAACATTAGAACATTATACCGCTACACTCATCACATAAAATACACAAGGGTGTGACACTCGCGATGCTAAAAACCTGATCGAAAACCGGACAACCCGAATATTTTAACTTGCTGTTCAATCAAACCTTACGGTTTTACACAAACAAATGTGTTGAGCTTGTAGGTCGGTCTTTTACCTTTCTGTTCATGGTATTCAATTTGTCTAACTGCATTTCATATTTGACCACTGACCCTCGCATTAGTACTACCCTCTGCTTTGAACAAACGTCTGGCCTCTCTTCGGTAAACATCGACAGTTTCCGTAAATCTAGGCGTAATGTAAACAATGACACAGACCCCATTTTCAACACCGACGTGTGCATTGATATTGTGTACATTGGTTGAATTTCATATTGAACTTTCGCATCATTATTTTAGCAAATTTGATGACGTATATTTCGATGATTTGGTCATATTTTCTCCTGCCGTATGCTGGAAATAAACTGAACGCCCAGTAACAGCAACTAGAAAATGGTTGTTTACCACATTATATATTTAATAATAAATAGCTCTAATACATTTGAAAAACATAACTGATTAATTCAACCATGTACTTTTAACAATGTATGTGCTTTCAAAAATGTAATAATGATAAAGAAAAATATATTTATTATTTTTATTAATTTGGCACGTATCATTTCAATATAACATCCATATCTATTCTTCCATTTTTCATGGGTTGACCATGGTGATGCAATATAGGCATTGATTTTAAAAAGTATAACAATAGTCATGGTATGGCAACATCTGCCTGATGCTACCGAGATGTTAATTACACATCAGACCATCAGCGTGTTATCTAATGGATAGGGAAAATAACATGACTATGATATACATAAATCTGAATGTACTCCGTTCCCCACCCTACTCCAGCCCCAGATACAGCTACAGTGTTTTAGGTAATAGGAAAACGAACACATTATGAAATATCAATAGAAGGAATCAGTTAAACTGTTGACAGAACTACACCATGATTGTTGTAGGTTGTCAGATAACCATGGTTTAAAAATGTGAAGAAATATCTTTCTCATTTCTCACAACTTGTGTTAACCACACATATTCAAATCCACGCCTAAACAGAATATTTGTAATATGAGTAGCCGATGTCGCACAGCCAGTGTAGTCCATCAGGTAGCATTGACGAAGCAGTCTGTGTTCATCCAAATACAGTAGCCTGCACCAATACTTAATGTCCCGTGTGGTGTTGACATTTGGTGAGGGCTCTGCCACATTCTCCCCAAACCATTGCATTATTTGTTGTTTTAGACATTTTGAGAAAATATGTACACATTTTATGCTGTACATCTTCAATAATTATACATTATAAGGTCCCCTATACTTCTGCACCATAACACACTATAGGAACAATCACTGCATCAAATATCACTGCATCAAATAAAAAGTTCATCTTCAAACATATGTACTGTTAAGGCAATGTATGTATTTGTATGGTAATGTATTAACATACTGATCATACTGTGTATATTTCTATATTCAGTTCAGTATAATAATGTGTCAAATTCATTGTATTAAGCAGTGTATTCGTGTGTATTTTTGTGTACAGATCATTTGATTCACCATGTTTATTGTGATCACAAATATTCTGTCAAAAATAGTATGTTGATGGATGGATCTGTTTAGTTTTTTACAAATGATATGGCCAAAGTAAGTCAAGATATGGAATATATTTTCTGTATTATGTCACTGAGAGTCGACACTTTTATAAGCACACCCACAGTTAAATAACAATGGATTGAACTTAATCATTATGCAACAGAAAAAAAAGAAGATAATACATGGCTTTTCATGTCAATTACAAAAATACAGAGGCTAAATATGATGACAAATGTGTCATTAACATCATTAATGTGGATCTAACTCATAAATGTATTCCATATGTTCACATTGTACGTGGGCCGAAGGCCTTTCTACCGAATGAAAGATTGATTGATATGGATCTAAACGCTTTCCCAAGCTATTTCACCAGGCAATCGAAACATATATCCGCTTCCTGTAACGATGGAAGATACGGGACATAAATGGCGATAATTTCGTCACCAAATTTGATAAAATAAAGATGCGAACTATTCAATCAGTGAGGTCGTTCAGATCCATGTGTCGAAGCGTTAGCGCAGCAGACCCCGAAAACCAGGTTGAGCCATTTTCTGTTTCCAAGTCACAAAAAAATCTACGGAAACTGTCGATGTTTACCGAAGATAGGCCTGACGTTTGTTCAAAGCAGAGGGTAGTGCTAGTGCGAATGTCAGCGGTCAGGCTGACCATACATGTACCGTAATACGATACAGGGCTACCTGACGGTTGAGTTCCTGTTGTAATCTTTGTGTGATTGTTAACAGCTTCAGCGCCAAAACGCGGCTATTTTAACTTTGCCCCTTGTTTTCGAATCGTTTGAAGAAATATTCGCCAAAACGTGACCAAGAAAACATGCTAAGTAAAATGCACGTGCAAGTAAAGAGGCAAACGTTGTGTTTAATTTTGTCATCATGCCACAACTGAGTGCCGCCAATTGAAACATCGCCATAGGCCGCCTTGAACCAAGGGAGTCGCAGTCTGCAGTTGCCCGACATTTCAACGTTCTTCAGAGCACCATATCTCACCTTTGGGGTCGTTTCCTGCAGACCAATTCCGCCCAAGATCGCCCAAGAAGCGGCCGTCCAAGAGTTACTACCCAAGCCCAGGACCGCTACTTCAGGGTTGCTCACTTGCGTCATCGTCTTGCCACAGCGGTGTAGACTGCACAACGCATCCCTGGTTTGAGGAGAATTTCCGACCAAACTGTCAGGAATCGATTGCGTGAAGTGGGGATTCGACCAAGAAGGCCTGTTGTCGCCCCTGTTTTGAGAGACTTGCATCGGCGCAATCGCTAGCGGTGGCGTTGTAGAGTCCGGAACTGGAGCCTTAGAAACTGGAATCGAGTCTGGTTCAGTGATGAGTCACGATTTCTTCTTCACCGGCGAGATGGAAGACCTACCGTCAGTGAAATGAACGTTTTGTTCGCTAATTGCATTCGACAGGTCGACAGATTCGGTGGAGGAGGTGTGGGTTACGATATCCAGCAAACAAAGATTATATTTAGTGGTGGTTCAGGGAATTTGACTGCAAATCGGTACATCAACGGAATCCTTGCACGCCACATGCTTCGGATTATGGACCCACAGAGTTGTTCCAGCATGACAACGCTACTTCACATACAGCACGCGTCACGGTCCGCTACCTAACGTCAATGTCTTGCCATGGCCTTCCCGAACACCAGATCTAAACCCGATAGAACACCTGGGATAAACTCGATCGACGTATACGTCACGTCAAAACACGCCTCACACACTTCCACAATTGACCATCGCTTTGCAGGAAGAGTGGGGAAGAATTCCGCAAGAGCGACTTCGTCAATGTCATGCCATGGCCTTCCCGAACACCAGATCTAAACCCTATAGAACACCTGGGATAAACTCGATCGACGTATACGTCAACGTCAAAAGACGCCTCACACACTTCCACAATTGACCATCGCTTTGCAAGAAGAGTGGGAAGAATTCCGCAAGATCGACTTCGTCGACTTATCCAGTCTGTTGCCGAGATGGTGTCGAGCAGTAATTGCTGCCAATGGGGGCCATACACTGACTTTGACGCCATCTTGTTGACTCAAGTAAACGGAAACACAACAAAAATGGCTGCTGTTGTGTTGGCGAACTCTATAGACATGTGAACTGTCACCTTTTTACCATTGACATTTCATGAATTAATTGGTCTTAAACTAACGCAGTAATGTCTTCGAAACATGGCATATGCGTTTCTTTTTTTGAAGAGTCTACCAAGTATAACAGGCCGGGAAACTTGACTTAACATTTTCTCTTCATCATTATCAGCAGAAGCAACAAACACAGACAAGCATTCTAGGACACGCCTCGCTTCAGAGGCTAACTTAGATTTATTAGTATTGCTAGATAACTTAGATAATAATTAGATCTATTGTGTGAAAACAGACCATGCGAGAACGACAATCATCATATATGTACTAATCCATCTGTGAGCAGATGTTTAATTATGATAGAAGCGATAAAACCCTTCCACATGCAAAAGAAATCTCTGGTAAAAGCAGAGTCGAAACACATAGATCATCCTTGTCAACCTCACACTAAACGGATAACTTATCGATAGACGAAGACGAAAATGACCCGATCTCACGTTCTGCTTTTGGTTGTAGGTAAGATTCATTGCAATACTAGCGTATTTCCCCGAACACCGGTTGTCATCGATCATATAAAGTGATTATATCATATAAATTTCGTTTTCTCCGAATGGAATCTGTTTAGCAGACAATCGAACCTGTTATTCTCTAATATTGACTTATATTATTTTAATTTATATTTTGTACATCCATACAAATATATCCTTGCTTTATAATTAGTAGATATATTTTTCAAATATTCCAATTTTTTGTATTATCGAGACAGAACCATGTATCAAATATGAACTGGCTCAAACATTCTTACAAAATAGAGGTGAGGTGAGGTGAAATTGGGTTTAACGTCGTGCTTGAGAATATATTTCGCTCATTTGACGACGTGCATGCGTGTGTATGTGTATGTGCGGCTGCTTGTACTAGCCCAGAATTAAGCTGGTTTTATAGTGCTAGCCCACTGAGATACCATGCCGCAGTGAAGCATGAATACCCCACTCAGACACATTATACTGACTCCGAGCCGACCAGTCCTTGTTGGACCCATTATGCCGAGCGCCAGGCTGGGACCAACAAGTACCATATTTTAACGTCTTTTGGTATGGGCGGACGCTCTAACCACTACACCACGGAGGCGGTCCTTACAAAATAGAAGCAAAGAATATTGATAATGAAACTGGAAAAACACGCACGCATTTCATCCAGTGATCTATCGTGTTGATATACAGCATTGTCATCAATAGATACTACAAAACTCTTTCCACATCCTGAGAAATGACACTTGAGTTGAACACAGTCCATTTATCCATTTTAGAAAGTGATCAACTGTAACATATGACATGTTTGGGATTACACTTACTCAGTAAAGATTCTAGCACATTTTTTGGGTTGAGTCCCATCCGGGATTCGAACCACACCCTCAGAGTCAGGCACCTACTCACCAGCACACAAAGTCAGCCGCCTAACCTGCTCAGCCATCGCGACTTCTACAAAATGGAAGTCGGACAACTGGTAGTATAGACTTTGTGTACCCCTCTGGAAGTCGCGGTGGATCAGCGGGTTACACATAACCTATGTTAGACATATTATTATCATTATGTTATATTTCATGATTATTTGTTTCAGGTTTTGTACCCGTTGCTGCCGGTTTGTTTTGTGATGTTTGCAAAACCAACTACGACAAATTCATCAATGTTCTTACAGCCGACGAAGACAGATGCGCGTAGGTTCTAGGACCTTCGAGACAAAACGAATCGATTTCTGACTGTCGGGTTCCAGATCTTGTTGAGTTGTCCAATACCCGAGTTTGCCTCTGACATGGGTCCAATGTGTATTGTGCATTATTGGATTCTCCTAAGGCTGGAATGTCGATATTTAAAAGACCCGTGAAGATCCGGGTTAGAATTGACCTTCAGCAACCCATGTTTGTCGTAAGAGGCGACTAACGGGATTGGGTGGTCAGACTCGCTAACTTGGTTGACACATGACACATTGCGTAGATCGATGTTTATGGTGTTGATCACTGGATCGTCTGGTCCAGATTTGTTTATTTACAGACCGTCGCCTGACCGACTTGAATATTGCGGCGTTAAACAACAAACAAACAAAACAAAACAAAAATTAGTCGAGTCTGAACCAGACAATCCAGTGATCAACATCACGTGCATCGATCTACGCAATGTGGGATACACAGTACAGTTGTATTTTACACGAGTGAGATATTCATGTTCTTTCTTATCACTGAAATGTTTTAAGAGTATACATTGTAGCATGTTTTATAAGGTGTATAAACAAATTTCCAGATTCTGATTTTTATGCGTACGTTCAAATGTTATTTTGAAATGTCTTATTTTCATTACTCATTAGCTACAGAGAAATTTGAAAGGAAAAACAATATTAGAGCCTCGTTCATTCATAAGAGAAATTCCAATTGCGTAGATCGATGCCCATGCTGCTGATCACTGGATTGTCTGGTCCAGATTCGATTATTTACAGACCGCCGCCATATAGCTTGAATTTTGCTGAGTGCGACGTAAAACATAACTCACTCACTCACTCACTCACTCACTCATAACAAAGTCTTGAAAGTTTAGTAAATGCAGGGTATGAAACTCCCAAAAATTTCAGCCAGACCACAGGGCTGGTTAGATGTAAAACTTGCCAGCCCTCACCAAAACGACCTGCCCGCAAATAATTTAAGCGACGTAGTTTATCATCCAATTGGAATTCATCATTTATTCTTACGAGTGAATTAATAATGATCTATTATCCTGAATGCTGAATATCTTCATATACATGTCTAAATTTTAACCCGACCTTCGGGCAAGTGAATTTGAGAATCTGGCAGCCCGTGTTAAAAATAACCCGTCCCGGGCGGTCGGACAGGCAGTTATTTCGAACGCTGGTAAATGGCCATTGAAAATCTCGTGAAAACGAAGTGTGCACCCCCTTTCTCAAGAACATTGATAAGTGCGGACTAAAACAACATTAGTAACACAAATGACCATTTGTTATGCGCTATAATCCACACACTAGTGCATGCTCAAAGCGCTTCATCTATTTACATTGTACTTGTTGCCGCAGGGCGTCTCGGGTGTATATCCAATGTTTGGTGTCGGCGACAGGCACTGGGTGTGACACCCGGCCCGACAAACTGAAGGTGGCCAAGGATGAAATGGACAGAATCCACTCCAATGGGGCCACACCATGCCGTGAGTACTTGTTAAATGTTGACGACGGATTGCTGATTGTTTGTTTTGAGAAGCGTATACAATCTGAATGACCCCCTCTAATATTTATGTACAAAGTAAGTGAACCCCCCCCCCCCCTGCCCCGCATGTCTTGTAAAAAGTCAATGAGCCTCCTCCCATAATTTTTCAGCATAATTCTTTGTGTGACACCCCACACTCTTTAAATCATCACCCCACTTCCACCCCTACCCCTAGCCATAAATTAGTCCCTTCGTGGGCTCGACGTAAAACTGACGTAAAATGTCTTGCAGATTTACAGATTTACTTTATATATGTTATATTTTTTACTTTCAGTCCTGACAGATAGCTGCCGATGTGAATTGGAATACTACAGCTCAGACCTCAATCGGCAGCTGGTCGCATGCTAGTTGGTGAATCAAGCCAGCATGGCTTCTAAACATATTGTTAACAAAATCAGGAAAATGATAGAACAAGTATATATGGATGACAACTTCTTTTATTCTAGAGCACGACGTTTCGATACAGGTTCTTGTATCGTTTTCAAGCGAGAAACGTCGTGCTCTAGAATAAAAAAAGTTGTCATACCATTCTCACTTGAAAACGTGAGTGTGTGTGTGTATATGTATGTATGTATGTATGTATGTATGTATGTATGTATGTATGTATGTATGTATGTATGTATGTATGTATGTATGTATGTATGTATGTATGTATGTATGTATGTATGTATGTATGTATGCTCATATTTGAATTTAACAAACCTGTAAAGAACGCGTTTGGCAATGGCATATCATTCTGAGATGACACATGGAATCAGTTCAAAGGCCCCCTCCGTGGTCTAGTGAATTGTAGTCTGACCGTAGAGAGGTCTGTGGTTCGAAAAACCTCAGACACATATTCAGACACATCCTTCAGACAATCCTCAGACACATCCTCAGACACATATTCAGACACATCCTCAGACACATCTTCAGACACATCCTTCAGACACATCCTCAGACACATATTCAGACACATCCTCAGACACATCTTCAGACACATCCTTCAGACACATATTCAGACACATCCCTCAGACACATCCTTCAGACACATATTCAGACACATCCTCAGGCACATCCTTCAGACACATCCTTCAGACACATCTTCAGACACATCCTTCAGACACATACAGACACATCCTCAGACACATATTCAGACACATCCTTCAGACACATACAGACACATCCTCAGATATTTAGGCACATCCTCAGACACATATTTAGGCACATCCTCAGACACATATTTAGGCACATCCTCAGATCTCAGACACATATTCAGACACATCCTCAGACACATATATGAGTATGAATGAACGAACGTTTCAATAGTTCTTCTATGCGACACATGTGATAAATCAACATCTTATTGACAGCTCAAGTGTCCTACAGAATGAATGTGCCGTTAACGCCACACAGCTGGGATGTGATGGGGTCAAGACAAATGAGGCCTTCATTGAGCTGACTCGGCAGAAATGGATGGACGTGTGCGGAGGTCAAGGTGAGTGAGTGAGTGAGTGACTTAGCAGTATTCCAGCGGGGGACTCCAGCAATGGGCTTCACACATTGTAGCCATGTGGAGAATCGAACCCGGGTCTTCAGCGTGACGAGCGAAGGCTTTAACCACTAAGCTACCCCACCTCCCCTTGAGGTCCTGGTAGATATAAACAAAGACTATCACACGGACCTGACCGCCTCCGTGGTGTAGTGGTTAGAGCGTCCGCCCGGAGAGCGGAAGGTCGCGGGTTCGATCCCCGACCGCGTCATACCAAAAGACATTAAAATATGGTACTTGTTGGTTCCTGCCTGGCGCTCCGCATTAATGGGTACAACAAGGACTGGTCAGCTCGGAGTCAGTATAATGTGTCTGAGTGGGGTATTCATGCTTCACTGCGGCATGGTATCTCAGTGGGCTAGCACTATAAAACCAGCCTAAGTCTGGGCTAGTACAAGCAGCCGCACATACACATACACACGCATGCACGTCGTCATATGAGCGAAATATTCCCAGTGGGATAGCGTAGTGGTTAAAGCGATGGTTCGTCACGCCGAATACCCGGGTTCGATTCCCCACATGGGTACAATGTGTGAAGCCCATTTCTGGTGGCCCCCGCCGTGATGTTGCTGGAATATTGCTAAAAGCGGCGTAAAACCAAACTCAGTCAGTCAGTGTTATCTGAAACAGGGTGTGTGAATAGCTATTTACTATTAAACTTGTCATAGGGACCGTTAATAATTTATGGCTATGTGTGTGTGTATGTGTGTGTGTGCGTACGTGCGTGCGTGCGTGCGTGTGGTGATAATGATTTTAAGGGGGGGGGGACACCCATTTTGTTATGAAGATGGGTCATCAATTAAGTGCAGGAGGAATAGGGGAGGTCAGCAATACACACACAGCCTTAAATTATGAACGGTCCCTTAGAGTAAGTTCTACTCAATAATACCCATGAAGGTCCGGGTTAGAATATTGATCTTCAGTAACCCATGCTTGTCGTAATGGGATCGGTTCCCAATTGCGCAGATCGATGTTCTTGCTGTTGATCACAGGATTGTCTAGTCCAGATTCGATTATTTACAGACCGCCGCCATATAGCTGGAATATTGCTGAGTGCGGCGTAAAACTAAACTCACTCACTCACTACTCGACAAGGGAAAACTGCCATGTGTTCACCAATGGGCTTCTGTATAATAGGAAGAGGGCGTGTAGGTTTATGTTCTTACTCTGTTATCCGATGGATGTTAGCACCTAGCAAATTTACCTCCATGAGGGTATCATATCACTTCCAAATACCACTCAATGTATTGTTAGTTTTGTTCAATCGTCGCCTCTCTAACTATTAGTTTTGTAACGTTCGTTAAGGGTTGGACTTGTGATGAACATGTGTGAGACATGTGTTCTGCTTTTGATGGACTTTTATTGGACTTTAGTTGGACTTGCATGCTTCCAAATACTTGGAAGCATGCAAGTCCAATCATTCGATGGATTCTGACAGCTGATATTTTATGATTATGTAAAATGTTTTGTCGCCTTTATTAAAAGAAAATTCCTTTATTGTCAGATTCCTCCAAGACGCTAACTCCGATGATCATCATCACTGCGGCAGCGTTTGCTGGGATTCTTGGAGAACAATAACAAGCGATGACGTCATGGCAGTTAAAGTGTAGCTCGTTTATTCTTGAAATGGAGGTGGAATCTATGAAATTGCATGAGTATACTGACACTGTTTTAAGTAACAATACTGATGATGTGGTAACAATACTGATGATGTGGTAACAATACTGATGATGTGGTAACAATACTGATGATGTGGTAACAATACTGATGATGTGGTAATACTTTGATGTGGTTTAACTTGATAGTGGTAACAATAACTGATGAATTGATGATTAATTATTGAATGGAGTATTATGTAGTAAAGAGTGCAGAACTTCGTTCTCCCGTCAACCTGTTTATTCTTAAACCATATTGTACGATGTTTTCGTAAAACACCGAGTTCTCCAATCGGAAGAGTCAGTGTATCAATATACTAAACTGAAACATATCTTAATATCCAAGCATAGAAAACAGAAATCTGTCAACTGCGACAAGAAATTAACTTCAAATCATCAAAACGGAAAAGATTTAGAGCATTGACGTGGCGTCACTTGAGGAATGCCAAACTTAATTAAGGAATGTTAATTAGTCATATGCTGCTTAAGGTTAAATTATGCATGAATATTTATTTTTTCAAAACAATTCTCGTTGAATAAAATGTGTATCTCACATAAGCGTAGTTCATTGTTTTTCTTGAACGAAATGTGAAGCAAGGCCAAGGATGTGAACGTTCTTCTTTCTCTCAAAAACTCCCATTTAGAAAATGGCCACATTTACACATAAAACCTATTGAAAGCTTTACTTTGGCCTGGAATTTTGTTTCTCCGATCAAACACCGTTTGTGCAAGCGAGGTGCCTGGTCCTCTGTAAACATCATGTTGTGAGTGAGTGAGTGAGTTAAGTTTTACGCCGCTTTTAGCAATATTCCTGCAATATCACGGCGGGGGATACCAGAAATGTTAAATGTTGTGAAACGCAAACACCACAGGATTCAGTTGTTGGAATATTGAGCGACATAGACCCGAGAAGATCCGAGTTAGAATTGATGTCCAGCAACCCGTGCTTGTTGTCAGAGGCGACTAACAGGGTCAGGTAGTCAGGATGACACATGTCATCGTATCCCATCTACGTAGATCTATGTTCACGCTCTGGACCACTGGATTGTCTGGTCCAGACGTGATTATTTACAGACTGACGTCATATAGCTGGAACAATGCGGCGTTAAGCAACAAACAACAATATCCATAAAATTGTAATAATTCTTCAAGAAACAAAACAAGTAAACAAGTCAAATACTGATGGTACCGATACATGGTTTGGCCTTATAATGTATTTGATTTATCATTTATACCAATCAGAGTCCTTGTTAGTTGGGAAATGTAAAGATTGTCACACGATGCACCCAGTCTTTAGATGAAGGCTCGCTGGCACAATTCCACATAACAACGTAGATTGACATCACTCAGATAGCGTATAAACCAAATTTACTAAATATTATGATGTAAATTTGCTTGTAATGTTTTAATGGGAATTAAAGTGTGTTTGGAGTTTGAAACCACAACAGACAAATACATGCTGTATCTTGCTTTTGCCTTTTATCAAAATGAATAATAATAACACCAATTATGTTTCAGTGATTGTGTCACGTCATGCGATAAGATTTAATAACCTCAAACAGTCAACAGTCACATAGCAACGGTAGTGATGCCATTTCATGTGAGGGGACTGTGTTTTGGAACTCATTGGTCTTGTCATTCTCTGATGTCGATGTCCCCTAACAGCAGGAGTATGGCCAAACCCGTGGTGTTTCTGTTGCTTTTAGGTAAGAGAGTCAAACACTAGTGTATGAAATAAGGCCCGTCCGACAGCCCAAGATGGGCTAGTGTTCTGACGGACGGTCCAAATATGCAGCTAGCCAGCCCGACTGTCTGGTAAAAATTTTTAGAAAAAATGTTCCATACATCTGAGTAATTTTCTTTGGATTGTGTGGTCTGGTTTAATCCATTTTGGGCTGGTAACATTTTGAAGTTTGTCTGGCTGGGTTTTTGGCTTATTTCATGCAAACACCCATTACAAATTAATTTCATAGTTAAACTTACTTAAAGAATGTTAGCATTATGTAAAGAACGGTTTTGACAACATTTTCCATAACTGTGAAAGATTCGTATTTTTGTGTAGGTAATGCATTTAATCTCTATAAACTATGAAACTTTCGTAAATGTGTACTTGATAGATGGTGCATTCTGTGATGTGACAACTCCCATACATATGACATGTGAAGATTAAATATGTTGCTGATGTTTCCAATGATTGAACTGAAAAAGTGAACAACAGTTTACAGAAATTGAACACACAATGCCTATTAGAAAGTGATCAAATGTAAGATTTTACATTTCGGATTACACTTTCTCTAGAACTAGATTCTGTACTTTACTGTGGTGGTGTAACATGCTACATTTTGAGATTACACTTTCTCTAGAACTAGAATCTGTACTTTACTGTGGTGGTGTAACATGCTACATTTTGAGATTACACTTTCTCTAGAACTAGAATCTGTACTTTACTGTGGTGGTGTAACATGCTGCATTTTGAGATTACACTTTCTCTAGAACTAGAATCTGTACTTTACTGTGGTGGTGTAACATGCTACATTTTGAGATTACACTTTCTCTAGAACTAGAATCTGTACTTTACTGTGGTGGTGTAACATGCTACATTTGAGATTACACTTTCTCTAGAACTAGAATCTGTACTCTACTATGGTGGTGTAACATGCTACATTTTGAGATTACACTTTCTCTAGAACTAGAATCTGTACTTTACTGTGGTGGTGTAACATGCTACATTTGAGATTACACTTTCTCTAGAACTAGAATCTGTACTTTACTGTGGTGGTGTAACATGCTACATTTTGAGATTACACTTTCTCTAGAACTAGAATCTGTACTTTACTGTGGTGGTGTAACATGCTACATTTTGAGATTACACTTTCTCTAGAACTAGAATCTGTACTTTACTGTGGTGGTGTAACATGCTACATTTTGGGATTACACTTTCTCTAGAACTAGAATCTGTACTTTACTGTGGTGGTGTAACATGCTACATTTTGGGATTACACTTTCTCTAGAACTAGAATCTGTACTTTACTGTGGTGGTGTAACATGCTACATTTTGGGATTACACTTTCTCTAGAACTTTTGAATCTGTACTTTACTGTGGTGGTGTAACATGCTACATTTGAGATTACACTTTCTTTAGAACTAGAATCTGTACTTTTACTGTGGTGGTGTAACATGCTACATTTGGGATTACACTTTCTCTAGAACTAGAATCTGTACTTTACTGTGGTGGTGTAACATGCTGCATTTTGAGATTACACTTTCTCTAGAACTAGAATCTGTACTTTACTGTGGTGGTGTAACATGCTACATTTTGGGATTACACTTTCTCTAGAACTAGAATCTGTACTTTACTGTGGTGGTGTAACATGCTACATTTGGAGATTACACTTTCTCTAGAACTAGAATCTGTACTTTACTGTGGTGGTGTAACATGCTACATTTTGAGATTACACTTTCTTTAGAACTAGAATCTGTACTTTACTGTGGTGGTGTAACATGTTACATTTGAGATTACACTTTCTCTAGAACTAGAATCTGTACTTTACTGTGGTGGTGTAACATGCTACATTTTGGGATTACACTTTCTTTAGAACTAGAATCTGTACTTTACTGTGGTGGTGTAACATGCTACATTTTGAGATTACACTTTCTCTAGAACTAGAATCTGTACTTTACTGTGAGTGGTGTAACATGCTACATTTTTGGGATTACACTTTCTCTAGAACCAGAATCTGTACTTTTACTGTGGTGGTGTAACATGCTACATTTTGAGATTACACTTTCTCTAGAACTAGAATCTGTACTTTACTGTGGTGGTGTAACATGTTACATTTTGGGATTACACTTTCTCTAGAACTAGAATCTGTACTTTACTGTGGTGGTGTAACATGCTACATTTTGGGATTACACTTTCTTTAGAACTAGAATCTGTACTTTACTGTGGTGGTGTAACATGCTACATTTTGGGATTACACTTTCTCTAGAACTAGAATCTGTACTTTACTGTGGTGGTGTAACATGTTACATTTGAGATTACACTTTCTTTAGAACTAGAATCTGTACTTTACTGTGGTGGTGTAACATGCTACATTTTTGAGATTACACTTCTCTAGAACTAGAATCTGTACTTTTACTGTGGTGGTGTAACATGCTACATTTTGGGATTACACTTTCTCTAGAACTAGAATCTGTACTTTACTGTGGTGGTGTAACATGCTACATTTGAGATTACACTTTCTCTAGAACTAGAATCTGTACTTTACTGTGGTGGTGTAACATGCTACATTTTGGGATTACACTTTCTCTAGAACTAGAATCTGTACTTTACTGTGGTGGTGTAACATACTACATTTGAGATTACACTTTCTTTAGAACTAGAATCTGTACTTTACTGTGGTGGTGTAACATGCTACATTTTGGGATTACACTTTCTCTAGAACTAGAATCTGTACTTTACTGTGGTGGTGTAACTTGCTGCACTTTTGAGATTACACTTTCCTAGAACTCTGTACTTTTACTGTGGTGGTGTAACTAGAATCTGGGATTACACTTTCTCTAGAACTAGTCTGTGGTGGTGTAACATGCTACATTTGGGATTACACTTTCTCTAGAACTAGAATCTGTACTTTACTGTGGTGGTGTAACATGCTACATTTGGGATTACACTTTCTCTAGAACTAGAATCTGTACTTTACTGTGGTGGTGTAACATGCTACATTTGAGATTACACTTTCTCTAGAACTAGAATCTGTACTTTACTGTGGTGGTGACCACTTTCTTTAAGGCTCTGTGTATTCATAACTTCGCTCATGGGATCCGTGTCTATTTACTCTCATCAGAGGGGAACACAGGGTTTGTGATCTGGACTACCAGTTGTCAGACTTCCATTTTGTGGAATCCGCGGTGGTTATGTGGTTAGATTGCCATCGTCCTGGCGATTGGGTGTGGTAGTCTGGGAGTGTGGGTTCGAACCCTGTGTGGGACTCATAGCTCATAAGTACTGTAATCCCCAATATGACATAATTTTTGTTATGTAGCTCAAATTTGAAAGAACCGGTGTCAAACTTGATAATGTCTATTTCACCATGAACATTCATGCAACAGTAAATGTTACTAATGCTGTGTAGTTGTTTGTTTAATGAAGACCGAGGTAAGAAATGCATTAACAATTCACAATCCTACCATGTTTGGAGTGTAGTAAATTTGGGTTGGAAAAAGTGTTTTTATGAGATACAATGTCTACGATCCTCAATAGTTGTTTGTAATGCGATTGTTCCTTTATTTTTTGTAAACACATTTAAACAAAGTTTTCAAACATTTTTTTTTAAATAAATATTTATTTAGATGTGTTTGTTTATATGATGACCAAGCGCCAACACTGTCACTTGTTGGGATGTTTCGATCACCTTTTCAATCGAAAATCAAACTGAGAATTTTATTATCTTTTGCTCCTGAGTGTATATCTACACATACCATCAGTATGTATATCTATACATACCATCAATATGTATATTTCATATTTTTTGGATAACTAAGTTACAATGACCATTTCTACAACATTTTTACAACATGTGAATGTTTGAAAATATGCGGCAATCTTGTTCTGCTTCATGGAGGGGCGGTGGGGTAGACTAATGGTAACGGCGTTCGCTCGTCACGCCTAAGACCCGGGTTCGATTCCCCACATGTGCACATTGTGTGAAGCCAATTTCTGGTGTCCCCCGCCGTGATATTGCTGGTATATGGCTAAAAGGGGCGTCAATCTAAACACACTCTCTCACCCTGCTTCAGGGATGATCTACACTACAGATGGGACTTCATGTGACATCTGTACCACCACCTATGAATCAAGTATAGCAAGCGCTTCGGATTCGCAGAAATGCATGTAAGTAGTTTCGTGTTACCTTGTAATGCTGAATAACCTTGTAATATTATTTATTTCTTATGATATGCAATATGTAATGTTATACACTTATATTCAGTCATATATAAGTGACCGGAAGTGGGACTTTTTCCCCTTGAGAGTTCAATTTGATTCCAAAGCTAAATATTAAAGTGAAATTACACCACAGATATAATCAAATGGCACAGAATTGTTGCTACCTGCAGATTATTCTGCAAAACTCTTTTCAGCAATAAAAATCTCAAGTGTTCTTTTTAACAATCCGAGGAACTTTTTTCTCGGCAAATGAATATGCCCAAAAGGAGTAAACAGGTTGTTTAGTTTGGTTCACACGCAATGGAAAACATGTATCCCTACGCATGATATATACGTTAGATTTGGATAAGTTTCTGATGTAAATTTTGATACAAACTTTTATTTAAAGGAAACAGTAATGTAACAATGGTAAATGGGATTCATCACTCGTGTTATTGAATATCGGAAATATCAACCTCGTCATGTTGATGTTCAGACGCAGTTGCAATAACTTATATAAAAAACACCACAAGAGATGAACTCACCAAATATTCTACGCTTATAATATGTTAACTGTGGTGTAACCTCCAAATTATATGTAATCTACTAATATGGTGTTTGGAATCTACGAATGTGTTACGTAGGTAATTTATTTATACAGAATTAATTCCCGTCACGACGATGTCGTTGGCTTGACCAAACGTTTGCAATGTCTTCCCCACCATGATACTGCTGGATAATTCTTCGATGTGGCGTAAAACTACACTCACTCAAGCACGTGTTGAATGTATTATGTGAGACAGTCCGTATTTGTCTATGATTCCCATACCCGTGAAGATCCAGGTTAGAATACAGATCTTCAGTAACCCATGCTTGTCGTAAAGGGCGACGAACGGGATCAGGTGGTCAGGCTCGCTGACTTGGTTGACACGTGTCACCGGTTCCCAAATGCGGAGATCGATGTCCATGATGTTGATCACTGGATTGTCTGGTCCACAGTGGATTATTTACAGACCGCCGCCTTATAGCTTGAATATTGCTGAGTGCGGCGTAAAACTAAACTCACTCACGCACGCTTGTTATTATTTCTTGTCAAATGATGCCCTGTGTGTATATCCCAAAGAGCAGCGAAGAGTTACCTTGCCTGTCTGGCGGGTGCAACAGAGGAAGCAGGCTGTGACAAGAGGGCTGAGAAAATGAAAGTTGCCCAGGACGAGGTGACCAGAGTGAACGCCCTCTCAAGCGAGACATGTGGTAAGTTCCAACTGAATGTTAGTTTTGAAACAATCCCGTCGTTCCCGAAATGTGGAAAATTATTACAACCTTTACGGTTCCTGTCTTCCTGCAGTGGGATGCCTTCCAGATGCCATCAAGAGGCACATGTGCAGTAGGTCAAGTTGTATAAGGCCCCTCTATTTGTAATACAGAGTTGCGCCCCTTAGTAGTACCAGGAATATATGGCAATGGGATACAAAACCAAGTGTGCCCTTTTTATCATGCGAACTTATGAACAATACCAACACCCACCCCCCACCCCCAAAAATGAAAATAAAATAAATGAATAAAAATAAAATAAATAATAAAAGAATGACACTTAAATAATAAATAAATAAATAATTAATTAATAAAAATATTAAAATAAATAAATAAATAAATAAATAAATAAATAAATAATAAATAAATAAATAAATAAAAAAATATGAAAAGGAATTACGTCATACATCATTATGCTGTCTTCGATACGTCGGTTCTCATCAACCACAGAACAGATTGTAACTTTATTTGGTCTTGAATGTTGTAACCTTAATCAAACATGAGCATTATGGCGGTCTTTGTAATCTTGATAAAAATATTAAGCTTGGTTGTATTTTTCATCATTTATGTTGCAGTACTGACAGACAGCTGCGAATGTCAAACGACCTTCTACATGTCAAATCTCAGAGATCAAGTGTCCAATTGCTAGTAGGTGAAATAGCATAATCATCATACTAATATTTTGTATAGCGCCAACATCCCGCTCAGCTGCTCAAAGGCGCTTTGTTTTTCCCTCGCTCATTGGATGTCAGTCTCAACGGCACATCATATTTTCAATCTCAACTCCCTGGGGATCATGCAACTTGTGCAGCCACTATGCGCACCAAGTTATTGCGGCTGCCCCATCCTTACGAGGTACCCATTCACAGCTGGGTGGACTGGGACACATAGTCACAGTATTTTGTCCAAGTTTACTGCGGGTTGCTGCACCAGCAACTAGGTGTTTGCACGTATTCACGTGGCCACCATCTGGTCATATACCAACGGATTTGTGGGTTCTTTTAAGTGCACAAGGTTGTGTACTGTACACTAGGGGCTGTGACAACACTGAAAGAGTCTGCACACAAAGTTGACTCCAAGGTTTTACACCCTGTCACAGGTGGGCTCGATGCCAGCACCTTAAGCTCCCTGGATCACAAGCTAGCGAGGTTACCACGCCCCCATTTTCATAACTAGTCTCTCCCAGTAGTCCAGCTATGAGATGCTAAAAGAAACAATTTCTTCAACGCTTTAAGATTTCTATTGAATTATCTGTTCTTCTTGACTAATACGAAGGCCGAATGGTGCCACATTGGTAGCTTAATCTGAGTTTCAATCGAAATTTCTCGTTATTTCAATTAATTGTCTATATTTTTTAATTTTTTTATTATTCTCGTTTCTTCGATTATATACTTTCGAGCACAGAATTGTTGTTTCGTAATTTTGAGCTTTTGAAATAAACCTTAATCAATGAGAAAATAATCGAAACAACGAGACGTTACTCGAAATTTCGAGAACATAATTAAACTAACGAAATAATCGAAACAGGGAGAAAATAATTGAAGCAATACGTAATTTCACGCTATTGAAAGAAATTTGAACCAATGATAAATTAAATGAAAGTACGAGAAAATATTCGGAGTAACGAGCCCAAAAAAAATCAAAATTTCGCAAAAATATACAGTATATATAGTGAGATTTTGTTCTCAAAGAAATAATGTATGCTGAAAAAGTGGCACCGTTATGCTTAGTTTATAAGACAATGGAAACACAGGTTGATGGTTCCAAGCAGAAGGGGAGATTGGAATTTTCCGTTTGTCAAGATTTGTGTCAAACTTTTGTTTTCTTGATTGGTAATTGTACAACGCCTAATTCATCTTATAATATATATCAATCTTTTGATAAATGGCTTTATAAGATGTTGATTCGATTTGATATTGATACATCAACAAAAAATCGATCAATCGATTATTGATGTAAGGATCAGCTTGCTAAAATCAAGATAAAGACGATAGAAGAAATATACGAAATGCCCTGCAAACACCTATTTCTCCTGTCAGTGCAAGCGTGGTTCAAGATCTCTGCGCCATCTCAGCATCTGGTCTAGCGTGTGATGACGTCACCACCAATGCTGTCTACTCGGTCTCTACCTCCAGTACATGGGTCAACGCATGCTCGGGTCAAGGTCAGTAGATATAGACAGTGTTATAACTGAAATATTTCTCAAAGTGGCTTTAAAATAAAACCCCCTTACCGTTCAGCCTCTATCCGGATAGCCTCTGATCAACACAGAAAGGGGTAGCCCAGTGGTGAAAGCGTTCGGTCGTCACGCCGAGGACCCGGGTTCGATTCCCCACATGGGTACAATGTGTGAAGAACATTTCTGGTGTTCCCCGCGGAGATATGGCTTGAATATTGCTAAAACGGCATAGAACCCAACTGACTCACTCACTAGTTTGGCACGCAATAGATCGATCGCCCCAAAGCAAACAAAGAGTATCCAAAAGGGGATTGCATACACCCGTTCCAAGGTTGTGTTGTGCAGTCCCTTAACAATGCCAATATACTATGGTCATCGGTTCGAATTCCACTTTCTTTCTTAATACCTTCCTTGGTCTGTCATTACCTAGATCATGCTCTTTACCTGGAACGGTGGGGTAGCCTATTGGTTAAAGCGTTCGCTCGTCACGCCGAAGACCCGGGTTCGATTCCCCATATGGGTACAGTGCGTGAAGCCCATTTCTGGTATCCCCCGCCGTGACGTTGCTGGAATATTACTAAAAGCGGCGTAAAACCATGCTCACTCACTCACTCACTCACTCACTCACACCTTCATCAAAGTAATGCACTTCCTTCTAAGGGTGCCTTCGTTCCTAACTCTTCGGAATTGTTAATAGTGTGTGAAATAAATACCGAAACTGAGTATATGTTCTGTTTCAGAGTCCCTCCGAGGTTTGTCCCTAAGGGTCGCCATTCTTGTAGCAACTGTCGCTGCACTTATCAACGCTCAGTAGCACTCATGACGTCATCGAATGTCAGGATCCGGTCCCTTTGACGAATGACGTGTTCTAAAAAAAGTTCTGTGATGTATTTTAGGGATCAAATCTCGATATGCAACGATCTTTAGATGTAACCTATCCTTTTACTAGTTTCACTTTTCATTCAATTGATGCGATCAACATATTTTCAAACAAGGTCCAGCTATATCGGAATGCTTCACTTCCTGAACCGTTTCTAGTATCTAGGTGTATCGTTATTTATTAGTGCACCATGCAACTACGAACTGTATACAACATATTTTTGCTTAAAAGTGAAGAGCTTAAAGTGGTTCCATTGATTTACTGTTATTGAGAATTATGCCTTATGACATTAATAATGGTAAATACCATACTTCCGCGTTGTCAATGAACACTGTATTTAGCAATGAATGATACTCATTTTAATACATAGCCTTGACATTGTTATTCTTGAGCTTTGAAGGAAAATAAATCAAAAGAAACACCAATATATATTTAAAAAACATGTGATTTCTGTGGTCTTTGAGAATAAAACTGTGATAAATTGATTAAATTCTTTGTCGAAAATATCAAAAACCTTGTTGCTATATAAGAAACGAGGATGACTTCCTATACGGTAACCGCCCCAAACCCCTACAGCCCATAACCCCTACAGCCCATAACCCCTACAGCCCATAACCCCTACAGCCCATAACCCCTACAGCCCATAACCCCTACAGCCCATAACCCCTACAGCCCATAACCCCTACAGCCCATAACCCCTACAGCCCATAACCCCTACAGCCCATGAACCCCTACAGCCCATAACCCTTTACAGCCCCCCCTACACCCCATAACCCCCATACAGCCCATAACCCCCTACACCCCATGACCCATAACCCCCCTACAGCCCATGACCCCCTACAGCCCATACCCCCCAGCCCACAGCCCATAACCCCTACAGCCCATAACCCCCTACAGCCCATGACCCTACAGCCCATAGCCCCACCCCTACAGCCCATAACCCCTACAGCCCATAACCTACAGCCCATGACCCCTACAGCCCATAACCCTACAGCCCATAACCCCAGCCTACACCCATGATGACCCCTACAGCCCATAACCCCTACAGCCCATAACCCCTACAGCCCATAACCCCTACAGCCCATAACCCCTACAGCATATAAGAACAAACTCTCCATGGTCCAGTGCACTGCTAATCTCCTGCCTGTTACCTATTTCATACAATGGACCAGGCCAAACACTTGGGTATTAAGAGAATGATTTTAATGATCCGCCTATACAGGTTTGTTTGCTGTTTGTTAAACGCCACATATGGCGTCTTTCTATAAATAGTCTAGTTCGGGCCATATAATCCAGTGACTAATGTCAGCATCGACCTAAGAAATTGGGATACGGCTTCAACAGAGTCAGCGAGTCTGACCACCCGATCCCGTTAGTCGCATCTTACCACGAACATGGGTTGCTGAAGATGACTTCTAACCCGGATCTTCACGGGTTGCCATACATGTAAACAGGCGTTCACGTGTGGTTTGCTCGGTTTTGTCTTGACTGAGTGAGTGAGTGAGTAAACGTAATGTTTTACGCCGCTATAAGCAATATTCCAGCAAGATCACGGCAGGGGACACAAGAAATGGGCTTCACACATTGTACCCATGTGGGGAATCGAACTCGGGTCTTCGGCGTGACGAGCCAACGCTTTAACCACTAGGGTACCCCACCGCCCCCTTTCGTCTTGATGGTTATGCATGATTTATTATATACTCTCCCAAAAAGAAACGCATCATGAAAATAGCAATTTCATGTAGCAATGAATTAAAACGTGATTCATTTTACAAAAGGTTTTGCTCTGTTTATGAGTCCTATGGTGTTTATGTTTTGAAACATCACAACAAAACGCACCATCTGTAAAATACCCGTATTTAACAGCATGATTTTCAATTTCGGCGTGTAGTGTCACAGAATACACAATTCACATGCAATGCACGTGAAAGTTGGGGATCAGATAGTCACAATGATGGGTATAAAAGGTTGATCGCTGTCTGTCGATTATTCACTGTATTTGGAATATTGTTGACGAACGCAAAATGCCACGTCTAAGTGAAGCCAACCGTCATATCGCCATTGGTTTGCTTGAAGCTGGCCAGTCTCAACGTGCAGTTGCCCGACGCATGAATGTTCACCAAAGCACCAGTTCACGGCTCTGGGAGAGATATCGCCGGCAGAATGCGGTAGCAGATGCCCCTCGTAGTGGGCGACCTCGAGCGACCACTGCGGCACAGGATCGCTACATCCGGGTACACCACCTGCGTCATCGTACAGCTACGGCGACCAGTACCGCTCGACAAATACGCGGATTGAGGCGGCTTTCTGCACAGACCGTCAGGACCAGGTTGAGAGAGGCTGGTTTACGTGCCAGAAGACCTTATTTTGGCCCTGTGTTTCGACAACAACATCGTCGACATCGAGTTCAATGGTGCACCAACGTTCAGGCCTGGAACCTACCGAATTGGCGTAGAATCTGGTTCAGTGATGAATCACGATTTCTATTGGAACGACGCGATGGAAAGAATGCGGTTGTACAGACGTCGACGTGAACGTTTCGCCAACGCTTGCGTTCCCCAAGTGGACAGATTCGGCCGGGACAGTGTTATGATGTGGGGAGAGATCACCTGCCGTAGGAGAAGTGATTTGGTGATGATCCAGGGCAACCTGACAGCTCAACAGTACTGTGACGAAATCCTACGCCCACATATCTTTCCAATCATTGATCGCCAGAGGGAGTTGTTTCAACAGGACAATGCCAGGCCCCACACAGCACGTCACACTAGAGACTTCCTCCAGAACCACAACATCAATGTGCTCCCCTGCCCCTCAAGATCACCGGACTGAAACCCGATCGAACATCTGTGGGATGCCCTGGACAGACGGGTGCGACGCCGTAACCCTCAGCCCCAGACACTTCAGCAACTCGCACACGCACTACAGGTAGAGTGGGCTGCGATAGGGCAACACGATATTCTGAGACTTATTCGTTCGCTGCCGAGGCGATGCCGTGCAGTTCTTGATGCCCACGGTGGTCACACGAGGTATTGACTTCAGCGCCACCACACGTCTCCATGTGACACTCAAACTGGCTTTCCTCGAGTTGGTGCCAAAGACGGATAAGTCTGCATTTCCAGTGTGCAATTTCGCTATATTTCATTGACTCATAAAGCCTACAAGATGTTTCAAAATAAACATAAAAATGCAGTTGAAATTCCTATATGCGTTTCTTTTTTGGGAGAGTATATATACAATTACAGCGCAACCATGTCATGCACCTTCTTTCATTTAAGATAATAAATAACAATACCATCAATTTGACTATTATGTATCGACATGAAATGAAAAGACCCGACATTCACACTTCCAGAAGGCATCTATGTTAGTAAAGGCGTCGATTTACAATTCTGACTGTAAGGATGTCCCACCCGGACAAAATCCCACCCGGACAAAATCCCACCCGGACAAAATCCCACCCAGAAAATCCCACCCAGACAAAATCCCACCCGGACAAAATTCCCACCCAGACAAAATCCCACCCACAAAATCCCACCCAGGCAAAATCCCACCCAGACAAAATCCCACCCGGGCAAAATCCCACCCAGACAAAATCCCACCCGGGCAAAATTCCACCCGGACAAAATTCCACCCGGACAAAATCCCACCCAGACAAAATCCCATCGGACAAAATGTCTGCACACTGCGGACAAAATCCCAACAGTGTGAACAATGACATACACTGTATTTTGAAATAGATACATACATATTGATCATAAGTACTAATAACCTGATTCAACGCAATCTCATAACATAATGCATCATCCTGGTATATTTCATGGTACATGTAATCGTCTAAAGCATCATTCTGGAACACCAGCATCTTTGTACATCTTAACTGATGTATGACGGGGTGACTATGAGATGTGACAAGAACCGGATTCTCCATTGTCAACGATGTCTTCGTGGGCCCAGAACATTCTAATGCAATTATTCTTGAACATTCCCACCTATAATTCTTTTAATACTACTCTTATTCATACTTATTTGTAACCTTTTTAGTGTACAAAAATCTATCTAATGCTATTTTAACTCCTCCCTTATTGCTCTTCAGTACTTCCATTTTGGAACACTGATAAAAACTGTCATCATCACAGATCTAGACACATTTATATAATTCATCAATACAGCCACTGGCCTCTATTACGAAAACATACTACTCGACTGATCTCATTGGCTTCTGTCATGAAAACATGCTCATTAAAGAAGGGTATCAATAACGTATAAAAATGGGATTTTGTCTTATGTTGGTCGTTTTGGTGTGGGATTTTGTCCAAAGTAATTTTGTTCTATGGGATTTGTCTGTGTGGGATTTTTGTCCGGTTGGGATTTTGTCCGTCCCCCGTATGGATCACTATTAAGTAGTGATGATACCGGGTGTCCGAGAAAAGGAGAAACAAACGTTCTTTCTTCTCTTAAGCTGACTGTCAGCTGATGGAATGTATCAGTGGGGTGCAGAAATTGTCAAGCCAGCAAGAGGCTGATTGCATGCTCAACGTCATACGTCATCGATAACGAACCGGACCACTCAATCCCCATTTTATATTTACGACTAGGAATATATAAAGGAGAACTACTCTGAATCGACAGGGGTCGAACATCAAACTCGGTGTTATAGTTTTACTCCAGTCTCATGTGTAAATATTGCGAATTTGTTTGTAATTTAAAAACATGAAACAAATGTAAAACTCACTCACTCACTACTGCTACTACTTCTACCTACTTCAACTTCAACTACCACTACCACTACCACTACCACTACGTTTAGATGTGTTTGGTTCCAAACTAATGCATGACCTTACGATGCGACACCCTTGTTACATCCGTGTTTGGTTAAGTGATAATGCATGATCTGGGACAAAAGCCACCCGGACAAAATTGTCGGTAATTGTCCTCTCTGTAATGGTAAAATAACTGGGTGGCTTTTGTTCCGGGTGTCTTTTGTCCGGGTGCTTTTTGTCCTGCTCCCTCCTTAAGAAACGATACCACAATTACTACTACAACTACGACTACTACTACTGCCACTGCTGCTGCTGCTACTGTTACTCCTACTACTTCTGCTACCACTACCACTACCACTACCACGACAACTACTACCACTATCATATTTGCCAGTTTGCCTGAGACTAGTTCATCTTGACCTGCTTGCACACCTGGGGCTCGTAACTCGAAGCAGTCGTTTAATCTGGTTCACGCATGGTTAACAACGCTTTAGTATAAAAAACTAAGTATTGTATCACAAAACATTCGCTAAACTGACTGACTGACTGAGTTTGGTTTTACGCCGCTTTTAGCAATATTCCAGCAACATCACGGTGGGGGACACCAGAAAGGGGCTTCACACAATGTACCCATGTGGGGATTCGAACCCGGGTCTTCGGCGTGACGAGCCAACTCTTTAACCACTAGGCTACCCCACCACCCCCATTCGCTAAACAATCCTTTAGAGTTCGTTAGGCTTTCCTTAAAAACCGTAACCCGAAATATAGACAGCTAAAGGCAAGGTTAAATACAATGGGATTCCCCGTGAACGTTCTCTTATTTTATTTTAAATTGTTATGATATTCATTACTTTGTATGAATATCACAGTTTTGAAAATATGTTTCATCATGACAAATGAAATATTTTTTAAAGCAGGTCTTATTATTCGACATAATTACACAGGTTAAACATGTTGAATTTTGTTTTACACGTTGCTCTTTTTCTGTTGAGCTTTCATTTGCTTGAAGATATTGTTTTAATTAAGTTAACTAAAAACCATTTCTTTTTGTTGATTTTCACGAATCGAGAAATTATCATCATCCTCATCTTCATTGTCATTTGCAATGCAAATATTGTGCAGCATATTGCGGTTGCAACTATTATGTTGTAACATTTTGAAGGTTCAAATAGCATGCACCCTCCAGATTTGTGAAGACAACGAAATCTCATCTTCCAAACACCGATTGTCCTTTCACTTGTGTTTCGGGTTTTACGCTGAGAGATGTTATTCCGTTGTTCATTTGGTCTGGGAGGATTTAGTATAGGATAGCATCCATGGAGCACATGCTGCCAGGCCATTGTGTTATTATGTTTGTGATTTGCAGTTGAGCCCATTCACAACGCTCATGAACATTTCTGCCATGGTATCCTTTCTGGACACAGACAAATGCTCATCTTTCGTTGGCACTTTGACTGGGATTATGGAACCGTGTATAGATCCAAGCACATTTGGAAAGTCAGCTATTTGGTTGAAATCAGGTCTCATTTTCTGTTTTTCAACTTGTAGTTTTGAGAAAATGAAAATACTCATGGGCATGTTTGCACAGTGATGTTGAGACATCATGGACACATCTTGAAGCTGCCATTTTTGACAAACCTTGTCCGTCTGCACAAACGGACAAGAAACTCCCAGCTGCATAATAACGAAGCGCTGTCATCACTTGTAGTCATGAACATGGAGCATTTGACCGACATGTAGGACGTGCAACATCATCTCTGATTAAATCCCACAGTTAAAAAATCTGTGACCTGTTGTGTCTGAATCTTGCTGTATTTCATCATCACTCAAAGTCGCTGAATACACGGTTGACATCATGGATTCTTGGTTTGTTCCCATTTCTCTCGTATAGATAAATTGCAATTTAATACGTTGATATGGATTTCGACCAGTTAAAGATTGCTTAAAGGTTGGGGTACACCTTAAACACAGTCGCTAACTTGCCTTGTAAGGACTGTCCTAACTTTAAGGAGTGTTTCGAGTTACACAACGTTAAAATAATGTATGCTTAACGATTATCCTTAATTAAAGACAATATAACGACTGCTTCGAGTTAGGAGCCCCTGCACTCGAAATGTCCAGAGAGTACACGTATTAACCCAATACCTTCAGTGCAAGAATTATACCTAGCAATTGCACTGAATACCCCCAACGGCAACATGTCAACAGCTGTATTTGTTTTCACATTTCATCACCAAACTCAATTAAGTACATTCGTTCAGCCAGCTAGACGAGTTCAAACCTATTTTCTGTATATTATCCACACCTATCTACTTTATAGAATGTTCTCAACAAATAATGAATCTTAAGACGTGTCTCTTCTTGTATTTTCAACACAGATAACGATAAAATGAGAGCAACACGCTTCATAACATAAACATATGAAGTCAAGCGATGAAATGGTGTTTTGAATGGATACCGCCACAACAATCAACGTCCAATATTTGTTTAATGTCATTGATCACATTCTTACGGGTACATGGTGGTGTAGGGAGGATCATATTTCATCCCTTGAGAAACGTCAACATGGGTAGAACTGGCATAGTGCTTCTTTTTTTCGGTAAGTATGTGAGTTTTATGTGATTTTAGCAGATATTGCTGTGGAACTTGAAGTCTACTTTATCCATATATCGTATCCCATAGTATCTTATATTTGTAAACCCAAGTATCCCATGCTTGTAAGCCATTGAACCCCATGATTGTAAGCCATAGTATCTAATATTTGTAAACCCAAGTATCCCGTGCTTGTAAGCCCTAGTATTCTGTATTTGTAAGCAATAGTACCCCATGTTTCTAAGCCATAGTATCTAATATTTGTAAGCCATAGTATCTGTTTGTAAGCCGTATTATGTGTAAGCCCTAATATCCCATGTTTGTAAGCCGTAGAAAACTGTATGTGTAGCCCTAGTATTCAATATTTGTAAGCCCAAGTACCCCATGTTTGTAAGCCCTAGTATTCCAATGTTTGTAAGCCCTAGTATTCCATGTTTGTAAGCCCAGGCATCCCATGTTTGTAAGCCCTAGTATTCCATGTTTGTAAGCCCTAGTATCCCATGTTTGTAAGCCCAGGTATCCCACGTTTGAAAGCCCTAGTGTCCCACGTATGTAAGCCCTAGAATCCTATATTTATAAGCCCTGGTATCCCTCAAGTTTAAGTCCTATTTTACAAGTTCCCAAGTACCTAATGTTGTAAACGTAATTGTCTCCTCTTAGCTCTGGTACTGAATGTATTTAGGCCCCAGCTCCCCATGTTTATGAAGGATATTTCTCGTGTCTGAATTTCACCTGAGCTATATTTGTAAGTCCCTGTACTCCACGTAATATATACTACCCATCAAAAGTTTAGACTCACTGGTATAAATGTAGCCACTTACTTCAGTCAACTGTTCTAAACTAGATTTTGCTAAATATTCCATATTGTTTAAAGGTACTGTTTACACATGAACTGATGTATTGTACAACAAATCTGTAACGTTCAAAAGATTATTGTCATGAGTTCAATAAATGATGAAACTCAGTGAAAATTGACGAATTCTTAACACAATATTACACCAAAACGCAGCTGTTCACATGCACGATATTTTCACATGCCCTTCAGCAATTCGATGCATGATCCTCCTGCAATTTATCTGCATAAGGTTTGCAGTTGGTTGCCATAAGGAGAAATTCATCTTCGATGTAACCGTGTATATAACTTTTGATGGTTAGTATACGTAGATATATATGTAAAGAAATCCACAAACAATGGCACGAATTACCCCCTACGCGTCCAACTTTATCTTCTTTATATATAGAATGCAAATGTATTTATAATAAATGATATTATTATACCAAATGTGTTTTAAGTCCTAATTCTCTATGACTATACTAGTATACTCCAGTGCCAAATGGGGGCGGTGGGGTAGCCTAGTGGTTAAAGCGTTGGCTCGTCACGCCGAAGACCCGGGTTCGAATCCCCACATGGGTACAATGTGTGAAGCCCATTTCTGGTGTCCCTCGCCATGATGTTGCTGGAATATTGCTAAAAGCGGCGTAAAACCAAACTCAGTCAGTCAGTCAGTGCCAAATGACTCAGGAAGGTGTTATTAAGTCCTAATACCAACAGTTTCCATTGTAAGTAACATCTAGTACCCAACCTCTTAGAAGACCTAGTACCCACTGAAGAGGAACAAATTTTATTGATTGTCAACTTCTTTATTACAATAGATGCAATGTTTCGGTGTAGATGCTAACGCCGTTTACATCACTTGCTTGAGAACGGCGAAAAAATCCGCACATAAACATCGCATCATACCAGCTTCTAAATGGCATCAAAGAAACATTTACCCCCTCTTTGTAAGTCTTTGTACCCTAGGTTTTGTGGGCCTAGTACCCAATGTTTGGTAGACCAAGTACCCATTGTTAGAAAATCTAGTACCCAGGTAACCTCTCAAAACTTAGACAGTCATATCTTAGACAGCTTAAAACAACAACATTTCTGGTTCAGTGCACAACCAATCCTCAAGCTGATACCTATTTCTTATAATGGATCAGTCCAGTAGAATCAATTAGACAAGACGTTATGTTCATTCAGACAGAGATAAAACTAATAAAATAATAAATATTGTATGTTGATCATGACAACCTAAAAATCATGCTGGTTCCAAAATTTCATATTCACTTGAAAGTTTGCACAATTTGTCTAATCCTCAATATTTTTCATTAATTAGCTGTTCTATACCTCGCATGTGAAAATGTACTACTATTATTCAGTTGACAATATTGTTAAAACCATTCATGCCGTCAGAATTCTTTTACTTTGTATTGGAAGAATACATATAACTTCCACTTCAGTTATATTTTTGAAGAGTTGATGAGTACAGCTCCATAGCAACGGTTGTCAAGGTAACGGGTATTCTGACCCGTTGGTTGGTTGGTTGTTTGGTAAGTTGCTTAGTAAGTTTAGTTACTAAGTTAAATATATAATTGAACAAATAAATAAATATATAAATCTAAAAATATAATATACACTAACCCTACTCAGACAAACAGCATTCGGACATATATTGACTATAAAACATTCTCACTACTTATTTTAATCCGAAGATCACATACATGCATACATCATATATTCACAACAATATATTCACAAGGCGGGTACACACATGTACAGAGCAAAGGCAAGGAAGGATCCAAAATACACACTAGAGTGAGGATACCATGGAATACAGATATTTACAAAATAGAACAATCAAACATCTCCATGACATTTCATCTATGTGTTCAGTAACCGATATTTCAATTGTTTTATTTATTTGCAATCTGAGTCTACTCAGCAGAGAACACTAATTAGGACTGTTCCATTTCAGCCATGGGTGTTGTCTTAATTAGTCCCCTTCATTAGTGTCTAAGTTATGGCTGTCTAAGTTTTGGAAGATAACCAGTACCCACTGTCTGTAATTTTTACACCCACTGTTTGTAAATCGTTGCGCCCACTGTTTGTAAATCTTTGCCCCCACGGTTTGTAAATCTTTGCACTTATTGTTTGTAAATCTTTGCACCCACTGTTTGTACCCACTATTTGTAAATCTTTGCACCCACTGTTTGTAAATCTCTGCACCCACTGTTCGTACCCACTGTTTTTAAATCTTTGTACCCACTGTTTGTAAATCTCTGCACCCACTGTTTGTAAATCTTTGCACCGCCTGTTTGTAAGTCCTTGTACACGCGGTTTCGTAGACCTAGTAGCCCTTGTTTGTTAGTACCTGGACCCAATCTTTGGTAGACCCAGTACTCAATGTCAATACTCATGTTGCCAATCGCTTAAATACTTAAAAATATAAACAAAACAAAACAAAAATAAATAAATATAAAGAATTAAAAAACACAAAAACAACAAAACCACACCATACACCACTGAATGTTGCAGGGCTTGTGGCAGGGGCGTCGTGCGACGTTTGTCTCTCAACGTCTATCGTCATCCGTCGCCACAGATGTATGATCAGTGTATAATCAGGGTATGATCAGTGTATGATCATGATGATCAGTGTATAATCAGGTATATGATCAGGGTATGATCAGTGAGGGTATGATCAGGGTATGATCAGTGTATAATCAGGGTATGATCAGTGTATGATCAGGGTATGATCAGGATATGTATGATCAGGTATGATCAGTGTATGATCAGTGTATGATATATGATCAGTGTATAATCAGGATATGATCAGTGTATGATCATCAGGATCATGATATGATCAGGATGTATGATCAGTGTATGATCAGTATGATCAGTGTATGATAATCAGGATATGATATGATCAGTGTATAATCAGGGTATGATCAGTGTATCAGATCAGTGTATGATCAGGGTATGATCAGGGTATGATCAGTGTATAATCAGGGTATGATCAGTGTATGATCAGGGTATGATCAGTGTATGATCAGGGTATGATCAGGGTATGATGAATGTATGATCAGAGCATGTTCAGGGTATAATCAGTGTGTAATCAGGGTATAGTCAGTAAACATTGTATGTAGAGTCTGTGTACAATCAGTGTATCTTCAGTGCATCTTCAGTGTATATTCTGTGTATATTATATGTGTTTTAGAACGGTACAAGATGTGTTTTAGAACATGTTACAAACAGAGTATGGTCGTCATAGGAACAACATATAAGCATAGCATAAACAGCATATAAGCAGTTTAAAAGAAAAATAGTAGCAGAATATAAGCGGTAAATAAGCAGTATATATGTATCATACAAGCAGTATATATGCTCTATCTAAGCAACTCCTATTATAGTGCAGCAAAGGTGTACGTCCGGTGCTTAGTGGGGAGCTCTGGTTCCGGGTGTGACAAGCGACCGAGCAGGCTGACAACAGCAGTCGCTGAGGTACAGAGAGTTAACGGAATATCAGGAAAGACTTGCGGTAAGTCTATACCAGACATGGGGCGTTATGTTTGGGATAGTGTAAGAGAGTATGCTTGGCACCCCAGCCTTTGTCTCTTAAAGTATTTATGTCATTATATAATATCTAAAGTAATATTTTCTGATAGTTTACCAGGTTCAGTTTTGTTTTAAAATAGGTGAGTGAGTGAGTTTACTTTAGTCTTACACCGCTTTTAGCAATATTCAAGCAATATCACGGCGGAGGACACCAGAAATGGACTTCACACATTGTACATATCTGGGGAATAGAACCCGTGTCATTCGCTCTGTAAATATAGGACTTTTGACAAAAAACACAAAACACCCCAGCGTTGACAATCGTAAACCTCGACATTTTGTCAATCGTCAATGAAGGCCCGAGGGGCTAGTAGGTGTGGGTAAATGCGTGCGGGACAAGGTTTTTGGCCTAAGCTTCATATCATACATCACATATCAAGCGAACAATTGTAGTTATGTTTACAGCTTAGCAAGCGGAAAATTGTTTGTTTCTTTTCAATAAACCCGATGCTAAATAGCTGCTTGACATTACCCAGTCCGATCCAGTGATCATATTAAATTTGGAACGGTGGGGTAGCCTAGTGGTTAAAGCGTTCGCTCGTCACGCCGAAGACCTGGGTTCGATTCCCCATATGGGTACATTGTGTGGAGCTCAATTCTGGGGTCCCCAGCCGTGATATTGCTGGAATATTGCTAAACGCATCGTAAAACCAAACTCACTCATAATATATTTCATCCCCTTCTCCTACCCAGAGTTCCATGCGGCAAGCCAACATAGTATATCTGCCACAGGCCAGAAAAATGTGACGATTCGTCACATCTTGCACCGTCCATTCAGTATAATGTACAAATTTCTTTAACTCTTTTATTTTGACGAGTCTACACATCTAACTAAACATCTTTAATAGAATGGTTTAGTTTCACTGAGAAAATATCCAAAAAACATGTAACACTATTTCGATTTGCGTAGCGATCCTTTGTTTACATAGGTTGTACGGCTCCACGTGCTGTCATCGAAGCTGATGGAGAGCAAACGATGCAGCCAGTTTGATAGCTAAATATGTATTGCCATAGACCTTACTGTCGCAGTTGTGGAAGAATATATATGTAACAATGTAAAACAATATGAAGTGAGCGCCGAAAAGCTTTCGTGAGTACAGTCTCTTCTTATTATGAATATGCGCGTTTGATTACAAACAAGAGAAAAGTCCGGTCACGTGATATGCAAATTAGCCTGTGGCAGTGATGTTATGTTAAGTCATCGCTGTGCCGGAGTGTGGTCTAATGGTAGTACACTGTTCATCCCCGTCCCCTGTAAGCTATTCTGGTCATCAGAATCCAACTGGTCTTTGAGATTGCTGGGTTACCCGGGGTAATAATGTGCTGTGCCATTCAATGTTAGCGCTATGAGCATCCCAAGTGTGGGGTTTGGCGCTATATAAATGGACACATTATCATCATTATTATTATTGATGCTGAAGAAATATTTTGTTTCAGAACTGACGGACTCCTGTCTGTGCCAGGCGAACTTCTATCGTTCAGACATAACCGATCACTTGAAGCTTTGCTAGTAAGTACTTAACTGAAAGTTGACAGGTTTGTGCCTTGTGACATTGGAGTGACATCTCCTTAATTTTGTTCTGAAGCCAAATAAAAACTAAGTGAGTTAGGTTTTACGCCGTAGTCAGCAATATTCCAGCTATATGGCGGCTGTCTGTAAATAATTGAGTCTGGGCCAGACATTCCAGTGATCAACGTCATGAGCATCGATCTACGCAACTGGGATACGATGACATGTGTCAACCAAGTCAGCGAGCCTGACCACCCGATCCCGTTAGTCGCCTCTTACGACAAGCATGGGTTACTGAAGATAATTTTTTTCGGATCTTCACGGGTGCCAAACAAAAAGACAGATAAATCAAGGTTAACAAATTTAGATACATCGGTAACTTGTTGGTTTGAAGGAATTTTCGGAGTCGGGTGTATGTCCAGACAAGGATAAACTAGTCTGCCTCCCAGATCCTGAACCGCAATGTTTTCCTTTGTGCTTATCATTTTCTGCAATGCTGAAGCCCCATTTGAAGCAAGTCTAGAGTTCATCATGTTCTGAATCTACAGGGGGGGTGGGGTAGCCTAGTGGTTAAAGCGTTCGCTCGTCACGCCGAAGGCCGTCATTGCGCCGAAGACCGGTGTTTCGATTGCCCAAATGCTGGAATACAAAAGTGGCGTAAAACCCATTTGTCCCTTCTCAATGGGTCCTCAATCCCCGCCGTGATATGCTGGAATAATGCTAAAAGCGGCGTAAAACCAAACTCAGTCAGTCAGTCTGTCAATTCAAAAGGAATTGTTTTTAGTATTAAAATTATATATATTCAGAAACTGGGCGTTAGTCTAGGATAAAGCTTGAATACTGTGTTACTGTTGCAGCGCGAGTGTTGTGCAGAACCAGTGTGCAATAGATGCCTCCAGCCCGGCCTGTGACGACACAACGACGAACACGGTGTTCCGGGTGTCAACGTCTGTGACCTGGGTGAACGCCTGCAAGAGCACAGGTGAGAACCACGTTGACCACTAAACTACAGCAACTAGGCGATGTCAGAATAATATCGAACATCTAAAACACAGTGAGCGAGCGAGTGGGCGAGCGGGCGAGCGAGGTCAAAATCATATTGAGTGTCTAAAATACAGTGAGCAGGCGAGTACCAGGCGAGTAAATTACATAGGCGAGTGGGTGAAGTCAGATTCTTTTCAAAAGGGCGATTGAGTGGTTGGATATGTAGAGTGAGCGAGCGAGGTCAGAATCATATTGACTATCTAAAAAACAGTTACACCTAAGTTAGTGTTAGAACGCGAGTGGGCGACCCTACAAATGTCAATTGATATGTGAGTTTGGCCATGACATTGTTTTCCAGGAAGAACGCGTAATGAAACACAAGACACTGCTGGGAAAAGGGTGAAAGACGCATCACTCACTCACTCACTAACAAGATATGTTTGGTAGGGTTATCCTAGTGGTTAAAGTGTTCGCTCGTCACACCGAAGACCCGGGGTCGATTCCCCACATGGGTACAATGTCTGAAGCCCATTTCTGGTGTCCCAGTCCGTAATATTGCTTGAATATTGCTAAACGTGCCGTAAACCTAAACTCACTCACTCACTAACAAGATATGTTTTGACTGAGGCATACAAAAAACAAACGCTAACTCAGATGTCAATTGTTTGCAGGTTCAGCTCCAGTCCAGTCAATGATGACCGTCGCCATAGTAACAACCCTGGCGGCACTACAGCGACATCTATAGAACAACACCGACTACCGACAATCAAACGTCGGTCTCAGATTATGAGAGAATGTCAGTTTAGAAAGTACTGTTTTCGCCATGCGTTGAAATGGCAACCAATCCTTTGGCCGAGTTATCTTGGCTTGTCTTAAGAAATATATATATATACAATATAACATCATAAATTGTTTCCTGTTGACCACCACAGACATGTTGACTAGATTTGCATATTATTAATAACATTTATTGTATACATCTACTAACCAAGGTGTTTAGGTGGAAATTCCCTCGGGTATTTTATAATCAAAACCTATTGCATTAACATTATGTCATGCAAGTTTTTAAACTCCTAAAATAAGGTATACATGTTGCTGTTTCAAGGCATACAGTGCCACAGTATACTGGTTTGATAAGAAATGATATGTTTTTAATCTTCTTTTTGGAATTTGTGTACACAACATAGAATCTGTTAATAATTCTATTTAGTAATATAGAGTTATATATTTATTTATTTTATTAGACACGCTCTTTTTCTTTTCATGTTTATTCAGTGTTTAGCAAACATTTGAATATGTTTAATTAAAGTGTTTTTTACCCAAAATATACTTTTTTTCAGCAACGAATTATTAATTTTTTGTATGCATAAACAGGGCATGCGTAAATTGTAAAATTGGTAAGTTGTGAATATAGAAAATAAATCATCAAAATATATGTGTCTTTACTGAATGTCCATACAAGTCAAGTAAGATTTCCTTAGTTCAATGGGGCGGTGGTTAAAGCGTTCGCTCGTCTCGCCGAAGACCCGGGTTCGATTCCCCAAATGAGTACAATGTGTGAAGCCCATTTCTGTTGTCCCCCGCCGTGATATTGCTGGAATATTGCTAAAAGCGGCGTAAAACTCACTCACTCACCTTAGTTCAATAATATTCCACCACATTGTTATTTGAAAATATTCTACATAAATTCTTTATATGTATTCGCTAAAATTTGAGTGTGTCAGTTATAAAATAAAAAGGAATAACGCCTTCCAGACGGTGATTAGTAAGTCGGCCATGGAAACAAATCTTACATGTAAATCTATATTGTTGTTTCGCTTTGTGCCATTTTCAACAGAAGCCCCTTGAATGAATCAATTGTACATAGAACAAGTCTTCGGGTTAATATCACACACATGGCCAATCAGGACAATGACTATGTCACACTAATCAATATAATATTCCGATTTTCTAGAACATAATCTAGGAATAGCCATCAAATATTCATTAAGTAATAAGGAAGGTTGGAAGTGGGTCAGTTAATTTATTAGAAAGTGGTTCCCTCTTGTAATCAATGGCTTCAACAGATGTACTCATTCTGGTCCTACATCTATAATTCAAGGCATAATTCAGAAAAAGACAACGTACCATAGTATTGTAGGGATCATTTCCCTAGAGATGGATTTCAGAGTACAATGGCACCGGCTCTTATAACATGCGCAGTGTTAACCAGGCATAGTTGTTAGGCCATCCGTGCTTAGTTTTGCGTTGCTCGTCTTCAGTCTCAACCAACAAAAGAGAGAATCGGCAAACAAACAAACACAAACAAACAAACAAACAAACAAACAAACAAACAAACAAACAAACAATCAATCAATCAATCAATCAATCAATCAATCAATCAATCAATCAATCAATAAATAAATAAATAAATAAATAAATAAATGTGTTTGTCACTAATTGTGTATCACATTTTATGCGATTTTAAAATTTTGATCACTTAGTGAAACTTTTAAAATTATTTTGTGATGAAGATCGGGTTTCTTTGCTTCGTAAACAGGTTTCAATAAAGAATGATCAAACGGACATGTTTTTATAAGTGTCCAAGGTTTAGAGACGTTTTGTTTATCACAGCTTACCTGTTTCTAATCGGAGGGAAACGTTGAGATAAAAAACGTTTATAATTTCACGTCGGAATGAAAATTCAGGGCGGGCGGTAGGTAGGAAATGCAGAAAATATAGGGACAGCCTTACAATTATGGATGATATCAGACCTTAGTTATTTCTCGCTACCCTTTCTCACAGAACTGAGGCTATCCCATTAAAAGTCACGCTTGGACGACATTTCATCCGAGTGAGTGAGTGAGTGAGTTTAGTTTTACGCCGCTTTTAGCAGTATCCCAGCAACATCGCGGCGGTGAACTCATCCGACAACTAACAGCATCGCTTATGAGATCGCGAAAGTGACAGTCCGAATGCGTTTTCTGATCATGCAAACCTCCAAACCGTTCACACCGAAAAAGTTACGTGCTGTTTTCGTCTAACCCTCGCCTCAATGTACGGAAGCATTTTAGCGCCATTCGTTTTTGTATTTTACTTCTTGAAATTACAAAATACTTGTTGGAATTTCAAAATATGTAAGTACTGTAAGCAATATGTATTGTTGACACTAGCAAGCTCGGTTGTTACGGCTAATCTGATTAGAGAAGGCGGAGACAGCAAAGGGAGGTAATAGAATGATCGGGCCGAGCCGTAGATGCATCCAGGATACCAGTGGAGATTTAGCGGAACGTATACCCTCGAGATTATCGAGGATGGGTGTAACAGTAACAAGCTAGGCACGATAGAGCTACTAGGTTCCTTTCTAAAATGCACGAGTAAGTGGGAGAGTTGAATCTAAGTGTTCTTGTAACAGATGAGGATGTGTAATTGTAACCACCGCTGCTCCTATTTTGTTGAATGTGACATTTTATTGTCTGTGAAGTCCGTGGGGATTCCGGGTTCGAATTGATTCCACGGACCCTATGCTGGGCGTAAAAATGGCCCGGTACGCTGACTTTATCGATAGCCTGTTACCGTATCCCGACCGTGTGGATCCATGCTCATAATATCAATCACCGGATTGTCAGATCCAGACTCGATTATCTCGTACAGCCCGCCACAACATAGCTGGAGGGCCTAGTGGTTATAGAGCGTCCGCTCGTCACGCCGGGTTCGATGCCCCACATGGGTACAATGTGTGAAGCCCATTTCTGGTGTCCCCCGCCGTGATGTTGCTGGAATATTGCTAAAAGCGGCGTAAAACAATACTCACTTACATGGCTGGACGGTTCAACACACAATCAACACAAAAGGAAGACTCGTACACGTGCGTAGTACCAAATAGGCGCCATATGTTTCCAAAAGGTCCATGTCGAGTCTGATAATGCATGAGTGAGCGCAGTTATATGACGCCGCAGTCAATAATCGCTGGGAATCATCATAAATAAAGTGTAAATTAACTTTATGGAGCCAGTCATAAGACAAACCAGTGGTTGATAGTATGATGACTTATCAATAAAATAGTAACACAACTTGAAAGAGCCAGTCAAGCCCTGTATCAGACAGGCCAGTGGTTGATAGTATGATGACGTATTAATAAAATAATAACACAACTTGATGGAGCCAGTCAAACCCGCATCAGACAGAGCAGTGGTTGATAATATGATGACATATCAATAAAATAATAACACAACTTGATGGAGCCAGTCAAGCCTGCATCAGACAGACCAGTGGTTGATAATATGATGACATATCAATAAAATAATAACACAACTTGATGGAGCCAGTCAAGCTCGCATCAGACAGACACGTGGTTGATAATATGATGACATATCAATAAAATAATAACACAACTTGATGGAGCCAGTCAAACCTGCATCAGACAGACCAGTGGTTGATAGTATGATGACTTATCAATAACATAATAACACGACTTGATGGAGCCAGTCAAACCTGCATCAGACAGACAGTGGTTGATAGTATGATGACGTATCAATAAAATAATAACACAACTTGATGGAGCCAGTCAAGCCCGCATCATACAGACCAGTGGTTGATAATAAGATGACGTATCAATAAAATAATAACAAACCTGCATCAGACAGACCAGTGGTTGATAATATGATGACTTATCAATAAAATAATAACACAACTTGAAGGAGCCAGTCAAGCCCGCATCAGACAAACCAGTGGTTGATAGTATGATGACGTATTAATAAAATAATAACACAACTTGATGGAGCCAGTCAAACCTGCATCATACGGACCAGTGGTTGATAATATGATGACGTATCAATAAAATAATAAAACAACTTGATGGAGCCAGTCAAACCTTCATCAGACAGACCAGTGGTTGATAGTATGATGACTTATCAATAAAATAATAACACAACTTGATGGAGCCAGTCAAACCTGCATCAGACAGACCAGTGGTTGATAGTATGATGACTTATCAATAACATAATAACACAACTTGATGGAGCCAGTCAAACCTGCATCAGGCAGACCAGTGGTTGATAATATGATGACGTATCAATAACATAATAACACGACTTGATGGAGCCAGTCAAACCTGCATCAGACAGACACGTGGTTGATAGTATGATGACTTATCAATAAAATAATAACACAACTTGATGGAGCCAGTCAAGCCCGCATCAGACAAACCAGTGGTTGATAGTATGGTGACTTATCAATAAAATAATAACACAACTTGATGGAGCCAGTCAAACCCGCATCAGACGGACCAGTGGTTGATAGTATGATGACGTATCAATAAAATAATAACACAACTTGATGGAGCCAGTCAAACCTGCATCAGACAGACCAGTGGTTGAAAGTATGATGACTTATCAATAAAATAATAACACAACTTGATGGAGCCAGTCAAACCTGCATCATACCCAGTGGTTGATAGTATGATGACGTATCAATAAAATAATAACAAACCTGCATCAGACAGACCAGTGGTTGATAATATGATGACATATCAATAAAATAATAACACAACTTGATGGAGCCAGTCAAGCCCGCATCAGACGGACCAGTGGTTGATAGTATGATGACGTATCAATAAAATAATAACACAACTTGATGGAGCCAGTCAAACCTGCATCAGACAGACCAGTGGTTGAAAGTATGATGACTTATCAATAAAATAATAACACAACTTGATGGAGCCAGTCAAGCCCGCATCATACAGACCAGTGGTTGATAATAAGATGACGTATCAATAAAATAATAACACAACTTGATGAAGCCAGTCAAACCTGCATCAGACAGACCAGTGGTTGATAGTATGATTACTTATCAATAAAATAATAACACAACTTGATGGAGACAGTCAAACCTGCATCAGACGGACCAGTGGTTGATAGTATGATGACTTATCAATAAAATAATAACACGACGTGATAGAGCCAGTCAAGCCTGCATCAGACGGACCAGTGGTTGATAGTATGATGACTTATCAATAAAATAATAACACGACGTGATAGAGCCAGTCAAGCCTGCATCAGACAGACCAGTGGTTGATAGTATGATGACTTATCAATAAAATAATAACACGACGTGATAGAGCCAGTCAAGCCTGCATCAGACGGACCAGTGGTTGATAGTATGATGACTTATCAATAAAATAATAACACGTGTTCATTGCTTAATGGAATGAGCAACGATCTCTATCTTCAGGGCAGAGTGACACAAAGTGACCCAGGACACAAGGTAAACCAGGTATGTTATCACTCATTGTAACCTACCACCTCCATTTTATCGACCAAGAGAGGGCATCTGTCGTGCATTATCCTATGGGAATACACGAATCAACGAATACTAACGGGAATTGGATTTAAGCAAACAAATCAAACGCATTTCAAAGCCACGGGAAAAGAAACAATACAGGTGCAACCTGCTTCAATTCTTCACCACTTCGTTCATTAAAGTACATATGTTGAATAGTTAATAACACAGAATAACAACCTTACTGACCCGTGAACACTGCCGATACTTCACTATC